AATTTTGCTATTCTGACTTATTTACGATTGTGTAAATATTTGTTATATACACTCATTAAGTCATTAGTTACATGGAACAGAAATATATTAAAATTCACTATTTCAATCAATCCATTTTCAAATAAATTCAAGGATTAATTAAGTAGAAAGACTGAAAAATTACGACCATACCTCCAATAAAAACTACTAACCATTTTATTATGAACAATCATTTTCATTTTTAGCTTGCCTCTAATTTTTCTTGTCCCTTTAAAGAGATAAACCAAGTGAAAACTCTCAGTAAGTATTGAGATTCAAGTTTTGCCTAGCTAAACGCATTATGAAGATGGTTTTAATTTAAAAAATTACTGTAGCCTGATAACTACTGAAAATGGAGATTGCATTCGACAGGTATTTAGGCATGTTTTTCCATTTCCCATTATTGTTCAAACTTAATCCCACACAAGAGTATTCTTCAGATAAAGGAGTAATAAGATACTAAGAGTATGGCAATAAGTGATTTCGGGAAAATAAAATCTCATAACCCTGAGCATAGATTTCACTTGCAATACCTTTTCTAGACTGACTAGTATTTGGTACAAGTTATGTTTTTAGTTGGAGACAAATGATGTTGATGGTCAAATCAAATTAAAAGATCATTTAGTATACTAATACAAGTGTTTATTTTAAATAAGGCTATCATCATATGAAAATAACCAAACTTGTAAGTTATTTAGTTGCTTCAGCAATTCAACGAATTCTATAAAATAAAATCTTCAAGTTGTTTTCAACATAAAGATTAAAATAATTTCCACTGACTGAAATTGACTGGCATCTTAATTTAGAAGGACTAAGAAATGTGTCAGTTATTAATTTGTGTATTTACCAACCAACCAAAAATTGAACTTTAGTTTAGATCCATTCAGTGTAATGCTTATGATAGATTAACCACTAGGTTTGTGCGCTGTTAGTTTACACTTAGTGTTTTAAATTTTACGAATGAATGACTTTCCTGGATCTAATCTGTAAGTTAGCCCTAGGGTTAACTTATACAGTGCTCATTCTTCAATACTCCTAGCTCTTTGAAGTGAGCAGTATATATAAAAAAAAGAACTCTAACAATAGTATTGTATTTAAATTAACAAAAAATGTAAGCATACATGCCTAGGCATTCTAGACGTTTCCTTAAAGTCGTTGAAAGTATTTTCAGAACGAGATCATGCAAACATATACGGAACACTAACTGATGCTTTGTGAAAAGACCAAACTTACATTATTCAAGATATTCAGCACTAGCTCTACGGACATTTGAACTCATTATATCTTTATTATACAATTTAATTTTTACAATAACATCAAAAGAATATTCTTTAACTTTTGTCTCTGAATATTGTTGCTTATTCTTGTCTTTCATATACATAGGTAGTTTATTAATTTTGTTGACAGTTAATTCCACAGTCAAGACTTGGTTCCTTAAGCTGTATCTGAAGAGATTTTTTGTAGAAAAAACTAGGAATTGTAGCACCACCGTTACTGAATGTTTCTATACATCTTTTGCATTCATAAATTTCTCAAACATAAAGTGCTCTATCTCCTCTGAGGTAGCAAAAAATCTCGCCAACGTTCTCAGTGAATATACTAATCTCCATTAATAAGATGAGAAATCTGTAAAAACTTGACACTCTATCCAGTGAAATATCAAACTTTGTCAGATATTCAGACACAATGATCAAAGTAATATTGTACAAAAAAAATAGACTGTCTAATGTTAACTTGCATACTTCATCTGGTAAAATTGAAAATTTCCATCTTGCGTTCATAGTGTTAGTGTCTACTGCATATTCACTGATTCTTGGCTATTTCAAACTAATACACTATATAATTTAGATAAGCGGCATTTAAAAAAATATTTTGACATATACTAATTCCTCAATAAATGATATGTTTTATATCGTTTTTTAAAACTCTCTTCTTTTATATACACTTAAATCCGATAGATAGACTCGGCATTCTAATCAAGAAATTGAGTCGATTACTCTGTAATAAGCTTTTTAAATTTTACTCACTACATCATATTTGGTATTCAATAAGAAAAGAAAGATTCATTAAAGTCATTATCGACAACAGGGATTAACTAACCATAGTCTCAAAGGATTTCTCATATATCGAACACATAACTATACACATATGTATAGACAATGTATGCAAAAGAGGTTAGCTTCAAATGTCAAAACGAATCTTTTTTTATGCGATTTGAAGACTTCCTATAAGCTGGAAAATCACGTGACAAAGTCTGTAAAGTGAGTTTGGATTTATTTTTTGAAAAGCTGATATTAAAAAATATTGAACTGAAAACCAAACGGTTCATACAATAAATTTATTGATAAATCCAAGACGCTTTCATGCAAATGAAAGTCATTATGTAAAGAACCTGTAAAGAACCCTACATACTTATTACAGTTTGGTTATACATGCAGCAAAACAGTTGCAAGTCTTGTTGCAAGAAACTGAATCATTCTAATGTTTTTGTAGAGTAGTGCAGCGATATTCTTGATCAATATTCATTTTTTACTCGGCATTATTATTGCGGTTTTTTGAAGATAAAGTATGTATTTGAATATCAATAATCAGAACTCCACAATTTTCATGCAGTTGGTTCCTTTTACGAAAATTTATACATTGAAAAAAACCAATCGTAGGTTTCTCATCAGCTGCTTTATATACATTAAAGTGTAACAATGAGATGTGACGTAATATGAAGCGATCGACACTGATAACTGACTAACTAGAGCAACAAGGATTATCAATACTGATGATATACATCTTAATATAAAATGGTAATGTCTGTAATTATATGTACATAGATGTTTTGTTTGACTTTCCAAAACGTTTCCAGAAAGTTATTTTAAAACGTAGTTAAGTTATTTATGAAAGGAGCTGGTTCGATTCACCGTTAAAGAATATTCCACGAAAAAGAACAACTACAAATTAGTCCTTGTTTTGTCTTGTGACAACTGTCCAACATTGCATGATAAGCTAGTGATCATAACCCTGATTCTCATTTGGTCTGTCTGACGTCTACTAGTTACTGTATGGTTTAGTGCCTCAGATTCGACTAATTATACAACCGCCTAGCACTATTACCTTGTCTCAACAGCTAAGTCCCTACTGGCTCATCATTCTCTAGTTCCTCTCTGTCCAGAAGTCGGAAACCAGCCTGTACCATATTTGCATATTAAACACAGACGTAGTTTATATTCATACAGATCAGGCTGCATCACACCATTAAATAAAAACGACACTTATCAGTGAACAAGACAAAGTTGACTGTAAATGGAGGAGACTGAAAAGATAAGCCTATGATGAATAAAATATACGTACATAGTAATCTTTTGTCTGAATAATTATGCAAAAATAATAATAATCCGTAAATTAGTTCCAGATTCGATAACCGTTCTAATGTAACAGTTCTGATTGTTTATTATCGCTACAGTTGATGAAGTAGAGATAAACTTTGTTTCTACTGTTATCTAACATGCTTGATCAGATAGAGTATAACACTTTTAGAACTAATATTTTTGTTAAGATCACAATTTCAACTATGTAACGCATACAATCTCCACAAATCCCTTCATTGATCAAATCTAAGTTCAACTGTATAATTTTTTTGAACAGCATTGAATTTCAAGACCAAAAGCACTTCATAATGATTCAATATATTGACGTATAAGTAATAATTTAATATACATAATTAAGTTGTATTGTTTCATTTGAAACAGAGCATAAAATGAACTTTGTATACTGTTGATTATTTTCTTGTGGACATAACCGCGTTAATTAATTATAAATAAAATAAGAAAGAAATAGGTAAGTAATATATGTATTTCATAATAAGTTTTAAGGCTTTTTAAAAATAAACAAGAATTGCTTTAAAACAAAGTTGGTTTCTTTCATCAAGTTTCACTTCAATTTATTCAATGACCTTATGACCAAATGAAAAAAAAAATCATTAAATATTGCGTGAATAACTATTAAATGATTAATTGATTCAATAGCTCATTAATTTTGTTTGACCTTTATGAATTATTGAACATAATAACAATCTTGAATTTCTTTTAATTAGTTCAATTGTTAACAGAGTTGTTCAATTCAATATTAAACTTATTAAAGTAAATATGATAAATGAAACTGATTGACTGTTGAAGCAAACTGGTATCTTCAAGTGTTTGCGGTAATGGTTCACTCTACAACGCATTCATCTGTTACTTTAATTTATAACTATCAACGTATTGACTATAATTGATAGTAGTATATATATATATATATATATATATATATATATATATATAGTTTATGGAGTTTTTATAATGAATTTTCATTTTCTTTAAAATTAATGGAATACGTAATATTTTGAACAATTTAATTCACTAGTAAAAACATCTTACGTTTGTAAATTAACATTCTTGATATCAAATTTCAGTAAATTTATATCTTCTGATGAACAATAAGCTTTCAACTTTATTATCTATATTTTTTCAAAAGATCCTGGATAGTTTCAAATCATATGACAGTAAAGATATTCATAAAAGTATAAGTGATCGGCTAAGTTCTTCTCGATTATGTTACAGAAATAGTGAAGTTAAATTTCCGATGTTCTTTTCTCTTTCATTAGTAAATTTACTTAAATTTAAATTAGAAGTTTCAAGTGATGTCGAGAATTTCATACTGGATAAAGGATTCACATTAAAAATGTTTATTTATCTATAATGAAACAGTGAGAATTGACCAGGCATTAACTCTTGCTTATTCGCAAATGAATATGAATTAATTTAGCTGATTTAATGAGCTGAGTTTTCCTGCTTTATAGTGTAACTAATTCTAACATGGTATGCTGGATATCTTATCGTTTGTTTTATGTTGTGGTACATGTGATTTCTCACATGTCCACTATGTTTGTGAAGAGTTAGTAATATTAATGGGAATATAATCTAGCTAAATAAAAATTGTTTTATACTGTAGATATGATTATTCAAGTACAAACTCTTTGATACTTCATGTGTTGAAGTCAAAAATAAAGCATAAACGAACAACTCTTGATAATGGATGATGTTCTTGTAACATTATTGGTTGAGTGAAGTTAAAAGCGTAAACCAATGGATCTACACTCACTGATGTAGACTGGTAGGCTATAAGCTGTACTGTATATGCAGCGTCTTTATTTAGGATGCGCTCACTTGATTATAACCGTATTACGATGAGAAAATTGTTAAATACTTCTCAATTTTCACTGACTGATTCATGGAACTTTTTTGGAAGCTGGTTTCTAAAGTTTATATTTTCAAGCGAATTTTCATTTATTATTTTAGATAAATCACAAATAATTAGATAAATGAAACATTGAACATTGATCAAGATGTTAGTTTTCAGTTATAAATTCATTTATTTATTTTGTTTTTGTTTCTTCCTAACTAGTTTGTTGCTCATCCACATTGTCAACATCTTTTAACTACTTTATGGTATGATCAACTTCCTGGTTGGCGTAAACGTCATCCATTTACAAAATTATTTCTTTGCTTTTGTATTATTATTGCATTGCCAATATTAGCTCCAACATATTTAATTCATCCACATGGATGTGTTGGTCAGTTGATGCGAAGTCCATTGATAAAATTCATTAATCACAGTGCATCATTTGCAATTTTTATTTCCTTACTTTTGATTGCATCAACTGATACATTAACAAAAACAGATTTACAAAGACGCAGTGAAATTCGTGGACCAGATCCAAATGTTATTGAAATGTTAATATTGTGGTGGGTTATTGGTAAGTTTTTGAACAATCTAAACATTGAATCATTTGTTTAGAACTATATTTGATTTTAAATGAAGTTGCCTAAACGCATTAACATTTCTATTATGTTTGATTCTACTTTAGTCACTGCTCAGGATGGTAATTGTCTTGTAGATATTCAAAGTTGGAAAGTTATTAAATCGATTAGGATTAACTAGCCTTTAAGTTAGGCGTTGAATATTTTCTAGCTTGACACACCTGATCTAACTGAATAAAATCCTAAATTACTTGAGATTTAAGAATCGATGTGATAAGAACTCCATAATAGGAGTCAATTTGTAATTGATTTCACCATTCGACTGATCATATTTTCTTCAAGTTCAAGCTTTTCATGTTATGCTCACTTGTGAGTTCTACCTTTTAGTGGTTGACAACAAAGTCTATGAGGTGCCTAATAAATGATGTTATTAGGATAAAAGTGATAGTTTATAAGTTAGTGGCCTAATATAGGTTCAGATATGAGAAAGAATATCATCAGTTTTAATGATATTCACTATTAATTGCTGGTCTAGATGAATACTTAAGAAATTACTCATATAATGATTAGATATTTATGAATCTTTAATATGCCCATTGTTTGATTTCGATTCCCAAATGTTTAAACTTTATGATCTATATCAATCTCATTATTTGTTTATTGTAAGTACTTCACCAATATTAGCAAATAGATATTATGAGATTACAATAAGCGATTATTGAAGGAATAAAATAATTGTCTTATGTTTAGAAAAAAAGTAATCAAACTACAAATCCACTCTAACAGATAAATTAACAAAAAGTTTAACTTTATTGATAAATCGAAACACTTCAACTTCGATAAAGGTCACAAATGGCATATTATTGGAAAGTTTTGAAATAAAACCACATATCTATTTAGTACTTAGTTTAAGACTGACATTTAGTTGTAATAAATCCGTTCATAAATCAGTTTTCATATTAATTTACTGTATATTTGTAGGTCAACTAAATTAATGTCCTCCAGGTTTCTGTATCATACTATGAGCTTAATCAGAAAAATTATTGAAACAATAAAGTTTATCATAACTAATATGTGCGTACCCTTGTTAAACTATGGAAATATCATCGTTGTATAGGAAAATTGAAGGCTATATTAAATTATTAATTAGCATTCAAACAAAGAAAGAACTTATATTTTTATATCAAACGTGAAATCAATATTGACGAATCAAATTTACCAAGAATTGAACTTGAATGCTTAACGCATCACTTCTATCCTACATTACTGATGTTGATTTTAAGTAGATAACGCTGTCATTCCCGAGAATTTTTCTACCCGTAAAATTTTATATATATATATATATATATATATATATATATATGCGGAAGTTCTTACCAAAGTAAAACCACTATAAGTTGGTAAAGCGAAATCCATGCTTGAATCTATATGCAAAAAGAAAGTATATAGCTATGTCATATCTGTATATACTAGTCTGCATATAAACAGGTATATATATATATATATATACTGGTTTCAACATCTTAGTCTAACTATTTGTTTACTTATGAATGTCGAGGAACTTTATTCTCAACGAACGCATACATAATAGATTAAGATCTTACTTTTGGACCAATTATTTAGTAGGATTCATGTATGGAACAGATTTACTAATCAAGTTTTTCATCAAATTGTACACTGTAAATGTATTTTCTCCTTCTTTATTCAAATGTACTACATCATGGAGTAATTTATTTCTATTTCGTTTTCTATTAGGGTTTGTATGGAGTGAAATGAAACAAATCTGGGAAGAAGGTCTTAAAGCCTATGTGCGCCAGTGGTGGAATTGGTTAGATTTCTTAATGCTTGGACTTTATTTAACTACTGTCGCACTTCGTGTTGTTGCAGTCATACTACGGAAAACCAGCCAATATGGTACAGAACCATTACCACGTAATCAGTGGCCTGAAACTGACCCAACTCTACTTAGTGAAGCATTGTTTTCTATTGCACATATATTTAGTTTTGCAAGAATTATATTTCTGTTTCAAGTAAGCCAATTTTTTATACCTGAAGTTCGGTGTTTACATTGATTTATTCTACTAGATAGAGGGTTCGTAAATCGACCCCGTTCAGATATGTTAGGGAATAATTCCGGAGCAGATAACCGATTAAATTCTTTCATTTCAGTAAGGACTATGTCCAGAAAAATTGAATGAAATTTCTGTTCATATTAATAGTAACTTTTATTACTAACATTGTATCAGTTATTTGTTATCGAACAAACTGATATAACTGGTTTTCGTTAACATGTGTTGATTAGAAACGAATTAAGAATATCCGCTAAGAAAATATTATCGACACATCAACTCCAACCACTTAGTAGGTTATTGGTTAGCTTTTCATTGTATAACCTAAAATTAAAATCGCCAGTAGAAGATCTAATTCCATACGTTCACAATCGTTCAAAAATATAATTAAATCCAACCGTCTTGGTTTTGTACCGTGTTATAAAGTGAATGAAATTATCTAGGGCTCTAAATCCGAGGAAAATCAAACAAATATTGCCTTCTGAAATATTTTTTTTCACCTTGATTTAAATTCTCACTAAAATCTTTAATACGCTCAGACTGATGTTTGTTAAGTAGGCCTCGAACTTTATATTTGGTTATTAAAGGTCGAGAGTTTCATCGATATCGACCTCAGCTCAAGTTGATGAACCGTACATTGATACTGTATTCAATATAAACCTGATAAATCTGACAGAAATTTAAAAATATGTTTATGAAAACTAAAAATATTAATAAGCTATTTTATAATCAGAATACAAATGAATGTAAGTAGAATGATTTATAAAATTTACAAGACAAGACGACAAAGGCTTTGTTTCCACTCAACTATACGTAAACTTGAACAATGCCTTTGTATTGATTACACATACTTCATAGCCACAAGTAAGAGTAAATCTTCTCCTTTCGCTAAATAGTTTATATTAAACAACTCTAGAAATGAGTTTGAAATTTGTCAGAAACAGCGTTACTATTGGTGAGATACCTCTAACTGAATTACCGAAACATTTGAATTTCTTCTGATATACACTTTTCATCTAGAAGATATGACATCATTTGGATGATTTTCTGTGTTCAGCACTTATTAAAACGAATCAAATTACATATCAGTTTGTTTACTGTTTCATATAAATATTATTGTCTGAAACGTAATGGTTTCAGACTAATTTAAAAAAAGATTCAATATTTACACTAATTCCAGCAAAGAGTGGTAGTTGAAATTGAGACAAAAACTGAAAGCGCAAATTCCAACATTTCCCGTATCACTTCCTCTAATTTTCTTAATTCAGTCATGCAAAAAAAAAGGATTTCCTTTTGATTGCTCAAAATGTTTATTATTCAAACAAAAAAAAAACACTTGCCTCTTCAAAATCTTCTAAAACAAATTGTTTATATTTTTTTTCATAATAAAACGAGTAACACAATTTAACAAACGAAATGGTACTTCAGTAAAAAAATTGGACTATACTCTTTGAAATGTAAATTTAAAGCCGACAAACTAAAAAAAATATTGTTAATTAAAAGAGATTTAATTTAAACTCCACTTGATGTGAACGGATTTGTTTGATTGTCTAACTTTGGCTATATTAATTAGTCGCAACACTACCGAACATAATGAGAATGATTTAAAATTGATCAACATGAAATTAGTACAATGCATATTATTTATGAAAGACAAAAAAACAGCAGTAGAAATTTCATTATGCTTGTAGAATGACAATGACTCTGTGATGATACACTCTCATAGTTGTAATCATGCATAAAGAGTAGATGACATTATTTTCTTCTTATAAACCAAAAAACAAGTCATTACACCCTGATTAAATTGTCTAGTTGAATAATTCCATTAGGTGGAAATAATTTTATTTTCACTGTGAAATTTTTACATCATACTCTCACTAAAATGTCCAAACAATGATCCATACTACTAATTTTCTATTTACAAAGAAAGCGAACTGTTTTTTCACAGATTTTGAAGATTTTGAAATATTTCGTGATGTGTCCAATGCATTTTTTTTTAAATTTCACATTTATGCATCATAGTTTATGACAATATGATGTATTTCACAACATTACTATTGAAAGTTTAATTTCTATTTACTATTATTACATTACAAGAATAATAAACATAATGAAAATCAAATTCACGAGTCATTTTAATTTTTTTTTTTTGACACAAAACTTTACTTAATATGTAAGAAATCTAAAAGTATAATTTGTGAAATGATCATTCATTTGAATGATTTTATAAGTTGACGTTTATTTTCAGTAGCAATTCAGTAATTCAGTAATTGAGGAGTGAAACAAATTTAGCAGCCTAATCCTTCATTTAACAGTACTATGTATACTGATTAATTTGTCTTTACTAATCTCAATCAAACGTAGTCAACTTGTATATAATCTTTATATAACGTCCACTGTATCTATTTGTCATATACTACATTGATATAGCTAGGGGAAACAATGACTGAATGAGATGCATATGGTTAGATGATAACCGTAATAACAATCTAAACTCAATGAAAAATATCTCAAAATAACGAAGTACTTCAAACGATGAAAAGTATCAAATAAACATAAGTTCAAGATTTAGCAGCAAAATGACTGACCTACTACCGGTTGTTATTTTAAATCAACTCAAATCTAGGTGATTAATTTTTTCTCAGTCACGTTGTTCCAAAGTTAAATAACTTGAAAGACGATAATAGCCAGTGACTTCCTTATAATAACGTGACAGAGGTTAAAAACGATAACGTAACGGTATTAAAACAAACAAACTGAAAGTTCGAATGAACCGTATTTTTCCAACTGGTACAGGCATTTGATTAAGTCGAATTATCATGATAGACTTCAATTTCCTAGGGAGCAGTCAGTTCATAAAGTACAAAGTATAAAAAGCATATATGGCGACCGCTATCAAACAATTTGAAGCGAAACAAGCCTATGAATGACTCGACATCAAGAAGTTACTTATGATTCAGAACTCGTAAGCAATATGATATAAATAATGGCGAGGAAACTGAAAAGCGTAAAAATATCTACTACAGTACAAACGCTGGGATCAGCAATAAATACAACTGATTAACAATGTAATGATCATAAGGATAAACCTACATGTAAGTACTTTCTCTTATATTTTCACGCGGACATATAAAAGTACATTTTACACTGAGTTTTCAACCACTGATATGAGTATCTACTAATTTAATAGACCAATGTCCTGACTCGGTCTACTTATTCCTAGTTTTCTAATGATCTACTTCTATGCCAACTTACATAAACCTTACGTGATGGCATATAAATTACTATCTAGTGATCGATAAGCAAACTTTAACTCATAGAAAGGTTATTAGGTAAACTTTTTGAAGTAAAAAATGTTTGCCTTTTATTCTCTGCTCGGCATAATGACTAGAGAATTCGGAAGTGATCATCTTCATTGTTTACAACGATATGCAAATAGTTTATATTGTATGATTCAAATGTAATGAACAGATATATCTAAGGCAGACCTTTTCACTTCAGTCAAACATTTTAGGCAAAACGACAATAGACCCTTTCTTTATTGGTTAATTTTTATACATCTAGGAAAAACAGCTAATGTGTGATTATATTCAACTTAAATTATTCTTATATACAAAGATGGTGAATTGAAACACTCAAAAGACTTACATTAACCATGCTTAAATAATTCATGAGATGGAAAGCTTTCTACGGATGACAAGAAAGTAATTATTTTAAATTAAATGTCAATTCAATAATTTTACATTTATAAGATATTTTCATCACAAGCTGACAAAAAGTAAAGAAGCATTATGCTCATCATTATTGTACAACCTGACTCTAAATGTTAACAGTGAAACTAAACATTTACTTAGAGATTCTTGATTTACAGTAAGCTGTTAGCTGAAATCAAATCAAATCAAACAGTTGTACGATACAACAAAGGAACACGCTTGAAACTATTGTAAACCAGAACAACCAGTGAACAGCAAGAAAGGCGAGGTAATCAGCAAAATTGTAGAACAGCGAAACAGGTGGGTACAGCACTTTAAGGAACTCCTGAATCGACCACCTACACTGAACCCATCCAACATTGACGCAGCATCTACGGACCTCCCAGTCGATGTTGGCCCACCAACAACTGAAGAGATCAGTATGGCCATCAGCCAAATCAAGAGCGGCAAAGCAGCAGGACCAGACAACATTCCAGCAGAGGCAATGAGAACAGACTTGGAAGTAACTGCGAAAATATTCCACACTCTCTTCAACAGGATTTGAGATGAAGAACAAACACCCACAGACCTCATCAAAATACCAAAGAAAAGCGATCTCAGCAAGTGTGAGAACTATAGAGGCATCACTCTTCTCTCAATACCAGGCAACGTCTTCAACAGGGTATTGTTAAACAGAATGAAGGACATCGTGGACGTCCAACTTCCAGATCAGCAGGCTGGATTTCGTAAGGATTGATCGTGTACTGACTAAATTGATACATTACGGATCATTGTGGAACAATCAATTGAATGGAACTCACCACTCTACATCAACTTCATCGACTACGAGAAAGCATTCGATAGCGTGGATAGGAAAACACTGTGGCGGCTTCTTCGACACTACAGTGTGCCTGAGAAAATAGTTAACATCATACGGAATTCTTATGATGGATTCAACTGCAAAAGCGTGCACGGAGGACAGCTGACAGACTCTTTCGAGGTGAAGACCGGTGTCAGGCAAGGTTGCTTACTCTCACCCTTTCTCTTTCTCCTGGTCATCGACTGGATTATGAAGACTTCGACATCTGGAGGGAATCACGGTATCTACTGGACAGTTAGGACGCAGCTGGACGATCTGGACTTCGCAGATGACTTGGCTCTTCTATCGCACACGCAACAACAAATGCAAGAGAAGACGACTAGTGTAGCAGCAGCCTCTGCAGCAGTAGGTCTCAACATACATAAAGGAAAAAGCAAAATTCTCTGATGCAACACAACATGCACTAACCAAATCACTCTTGATGGAGATGCCTTGGAGGGCGTTAACGCCTTTAAATACCTGGGCAGCATCATCGACGAGAAAGGTGGATCCGATGCAGATGTGAGAGCGCGGATCGGCAAAGCAAGGGTTGCATTTCTACAGTTGAAAAATATCTAGAACTCCAAACAAATATCAGTCAACACCAAAATCAGGGTTTTCAATACAAATGTCAAGTAAGTTCTACTGTATGGAGCGGAAACTTGGCGAACTACCAAAGCCATCATCCAGAAGATACAAGTGTTTATTTACAGTTGTCTACGCAAAATACTTCGTATTCGTTGGCCAGACACCATCAGCAACAACGAACTGTGGGAGAGAACAAACGAGATTCCAGTGAGGGAGGAAATCAGGAAGAAGCGGTGGAAGTGGATAGGACACACACGTAACTGCGTCACGAGACAAGCCCTCACTTGGAACCCTCGAGGTCAAAGGAAAAGACGAAGGCCAAGGAACACATTACGCCGAGAAATAAAGAAAGATATGAGAAGAATTAACGAAAGTTGGAAAGGATTGGAAATGGAATCCCAGGACAGAGTAGGTTGGAGAATACTGGTCGGCAGCCATGCTCCACTGTGGGTGACCGGAGTAAGTAAATAAGTTAGCTGAAATCAGAATATGAGTGTGAAAAGCTTCCATAGGATCATCTAAGTTAGTCAATACGCTGATATACATGTCAAGAATTCTAACTCATATTCAGATTCGAGTTTCTCAGGTTGGTTAATAATTTGAACATCTTGATTGTTGCAAATATTTCGATTTTAGGTGTATTTTCTTAAATGATTATCTCCGTATCAAATACCTGGTTTTCAGGTTTATAATTTTGATTTCTAAGGTGAATCACTTCTCTGACTAGTTTCAAATTTATTTAATATTCACCCAATAATGCATCCAGAAATTCATTCATAATCCCTACTAGCCACCTTAATCATATCATTTCAGGCGTTCTATTGTATATGCTTAACGATTTAAGGTGTTTTACGTTTTAAGTATATTTACACTTAACAATCATGAAGATTTAATATCAAAACTCATTGTACACTGCTTTATTATTCCTGTTTTTTTTTAATTCAACTATGATCGAATTTCATTTCGTTGACAGTTACGATTAAATTTTTTTTGCCGGGAAGGTGAAAAATTTGCAAATCAAGACATTTAATCCTCTGTTTACATTTAAACTGAAGTTTATTTTCTCTGAATAAAAACAAATACACTACCTATATTTTATAAAATATTTGAAAGTAAACAAATATTTTTTAAATTTGATAAACAAATAAGGTATTTATAACTCATATTTTAAAAAAAATAAGATATAGAAATCTATTACAGAACATACAGTGAGTAAGAAGCTAAATAACAGTTATTTAATGGTTCTATTGGATGTAATGGAAATGAAAATTCTTTTCCGGACAAATATTTCTCGTACTTTTTTTCTTTTTCTTAATTTTTTAATTATTTTGTAAGCTAATGAAGTTTTGACAGTTTTGGTAGATGAATTCGACAAATCTAATCGCGTTTACCTACATTGTTGTATTTTTTTAATGAATAATTAGATGTTTTTATCATAATGATCAAATGCTTTTCAATCGGTTTAATTAACAAATTGAATATCGGATTTTAATTAAATTTAAGTTTAACTTTAATCAGTATCTACTAAGATGGATTATTTCGGTTTTTGCTTGAATTTCACACGTTCTATATATCAAATACCATATAAGCTAATAGTTTAAGTTATTTACATTTCAGACAATCATGTATGAAGGAGAAAATTATAGGCGGTACACGTGATATAACTTCTATCACCACAATTTGTACAAAATGATAAAGATTTTTGTACACTTTATTTTACTACACCATACATTTTATGTATGTTTGTCAAATTATTAATCTCTTGTTTCAGTTGGTCACAAAAATTAGATAGTGCTTATATAGACTGCATGATAGAGAATTATCCTATTACTATGTACTGCGAAGATCTGGGTAAATCATGCACTGAATAGGACGTTAGTCAACTTATACTGTCATATTATGGAGTTAGCTTGATATTATTAGCATTTCACTGGCTACAAAAATGAATTAGATTCTTGAACTCTTCATAATAAGACTTCTGTATAGTTAAAGTACAAAATTCCTATTGCTTTCATAAATCTTTCAAACATCTAAACTCTATAAAATATACCTCGAAGAATTTCTGTAATAGAATGTTCTCTGTAATTATTATCAACAGTTTCTGTCTTTTTTTGGAAATATATTTGGTAAATTGTTTTAAACAGCATCTTCACATTATATCAAATGTATCGAGTAAAAAAAGTTCAACTGTCACTTCAGTCTTACGTTTGACCTTGATCTAACACAAAACCAAGTAGTCAAATCAGTTTATGTTATCGAACTGATATGACTTTGAAATAGAACACATGAAATTATTCATTAACTACCAATTAGTAATTCATTTATTACAATTGAAAACTTACCTTGTCTGCTATTTAAATTTGGTTTAGTAAAAAATTATACATTCGACAACTTTATTAAACTTGTCATACTTATGAAGCTTCTGTTTTACAACTTAGATTATGTAAATTTAGTATATAGTATGGACATTAAATTGATTATACTGCACAGTATAAGTGAATTCTATTCAACATAATAAAACAGTTGATGAACAGATGGAACCAGTTAAACAATTATTACTTCAGTTTTTTTTTTATTTTTTACGAAATACCTTTCTGATTTCTGTTTTGTTCCATTTAGAATAATAACAATAATAAGAATAATAACCTTTCCTGAAAATACTAAATACAGAATTCATGTTAGTTTTTGTGCATAAGCAGCTTGATACATAAAGCAGTTTTAAATGTAGAAGACAGATATATCATGTTCAATTTTTAATGAAGTCTTTTAGTTCACAAATTGTTTAAGAAGTACACTTTTCATATGTATCACAGTAATACAAGGCATCAGACAAAAACTAATAGTTCTTTTTAACTGAACATTCTAGTGTTTTGTGAACCACGTATTAAACATTGTTTCCGATGCCAGAACTGATTGGTTATGGTTTGGAATACTTCACAGTTATAATCAAACCGTCTTCATAAGGTAAAAAAATGATTTGCTATACCGGCGGTAATATTTTATCATTCCGTACATTTGTCATCTACTGCATAACTTCATATGAATGGTATGGTCAAGGGTTCAAATCCTTCTCAAGATACTGATATCAAACGATAGATGTCTAATCAGTAAAGTAAGATAGTGTTTCTAGCTAAAAGACTGTAGAACGAGGTTTCTTATGTGTTATTCATTAGTTCATGAATTAAAGACTTGATTAATTTTGGTCTTGATTAGTATTTGTTACAGCGGACAAATGTAAATGCCTTAATTTCATTTATACTTCGTACATATTTTTATATAACTTGTTAAAAACAATTATTTCTTCCTTCATTTTCAGATCAATGAACACCTTGGACCACTACAAATTTCACTTGGAAATATGTTAATTGATATTACAAAATTCATTTTCATATTTTTGCTAGTAATCTCTTCCTTTGCTTGTGGTCTTCATCAATTGTATTACTACTATCTTTCAAACGAAGAAGACAACAGACCACGTGCATTTAGTTCGTAAGTTGCTTTTTACAGAAAACTATTGTATATTTTTCTTTCCTTATATGGGTTGTTTACTTTTATCAGTGTCTAAGATTAAATGTCAAAAAAATCTGTATTGTCTATACTGAAAAATTTTGAGATTAGAATATATCCGTTTAAATGCTATAGAGCTTTTGTTTTTATTCGAATTAGTTGCTCGCAATTCAATTTCATTATCAACTGTCGGATAAATACACTTATACATATATTTTATGGATTGAAGATTTTTAAAAATTCTAATCAAACAAAATCATAGTTATGTTGAAACGAGCTGATTTTATAAAAGTCTGACAGTTTGACTGATAAAATCATTTTTTATTTTTTAGATTAGTGCAAATCATTCTGACGATCAAATATGCTATACATAATACATAATACATCATTTCTATAAATCATCATAATAATTTTATGCCAAGAACTTTGTAATATTTGCTTATTCAACAAAATAAAATAATAGTTGAATATATTACAATTCCAGTAAACATTTATAGATCAATGATAGTTATAGTTAAATAGTAATACTTACAATTACATTAACTGCTGTTAGAAAATTTGACTGAATAGAATCAAGGAATACCATTAGTTTGAGTCGAAAAATAATTCTCACCATACTTTGTAATTGAATTAAATATGTTCTAGCTTTCAGATTGACCGTATCTATTTAATCGACTTGATTTCGAACAGGGCTATTCAATATTTAAGTTGGAAGTTTGTTCGGTTCCAATGAGAATTATGATTTTTGTGGGCGATTTGCAGAATGATTACGACACTTTTTCAAACAGAGCTTTTAGATGTGCTGACATGCCTGTTTAACTGTCCCCTGTATATCAACGTTTCCAGAATAGAAGTTGGGTTAATTGACAGTTGCCTTTGAGACATAAGTAAAATCTTAATTTTGGCTGATTCTAGGATACTGCAAGCTTGTGATAAGAAGGGAAAACATTCTGTAAAGTAACAAACCCTCAAAATAGGATTGTTTAGTTTTTATGCAAAGTGTTGGTGCAAACTGTTGAAATGTTAGCTTTTTCTTAATTCTACTACCTAATATTTATATTTGTATGCTTGTACAACGAATAAGGTCCTTGTAGTAGTAAAGAGACGACATAGGTTTTCGAAACGAACCTGAAACATCAATTAGAAATGTATTAATAGGTATAAACAACAAAAATTCTATTTTGAATTTCAAACACTTGAACTAAAAAATTGTCGTGAAGATTTACAGAACCGAAAGGCTTTTTCTTAACCAATTTTCTGTTAATTATTTCGTGTTTGTTTAATAACAGATAAAACTTCATGTTTGTCACTAGATAAAATTTGATTGATGGTCTTTGCTTACTTTTATAACCAATTAAATATTTGTAAATTGAAACTTAGCGACGTATTCCGATCTCTTCTTTCATTTTATGTATCCAAACACACAATTAGTTTGAAAAACACGATTATATAATTCTCGACAGTTCACTTAATGCCTGAGCTTTTAGTACCTCATGAACTGCCATTTTAAGATTATGATGACGTTTAGTGTGCACTAGATTTTATTGGTTGCCGTTTTAAGCTTGCTTTTGAACAAAAACGTCATTTGATTAACATTTGGACAATGTGATCATGAGGACATTTGCTTCAGGTTGATAATTAAGGAATTTTCTATTAATTCAACAATTTAATCAGTGTCTGTTCTGTTCCAATGTTTTATTCAATAGCTTTAATTCATTCTAAATAGCTTTTTCATGGACGCATACTGTCGATTCTGTCAAATGAACTTTTACTTATTTTTGTTTCCTTTAAATTGGACAAAAGTTATTAAATCCGGAATACTGATTTGATAATCTAAAATTGCCTTGGATTAAACGTCTAGACAATCAAATTTCTCTGCAGCTAATAAAAATATTTTCTAGGAAGCTTAGCTGACGAGAACAATACGTCCCTAATAATAATAATACAGACGAAAAATGATTTGTATGGCGTAGGTTTCAATCAAGAAATCATCAGTGACATGGAAATATTTATTTTCTACAGTTAGTTCTCTTATCAAGTTTATATTAAAACAAAACCATGACAAAATGTTTATGAAAAAAAGCATGAATATGTGTTTAGCTCACGTTATTATTTAACGTCATACAGAGCCGAAATAAATAAGTCTAAAAAAAAGTAAAGAGACCAAATGGTTAAATAAAACTGACAAGCTATGAAAGTTTAGTATTGTTTTTAGCTAATAATAATAATAATGGTAATAACAATAGTTATGAATAATTCAGTCAATTATATCTGATCATATTTCATAATGTAAAAATAAAAATAAAAACATTAGTAATCCAAAGTTAGAAGTTAACAAAGTCGTTGTTTGCAACGACAGGTTTAAGGTCAGCAACAACCAATCAAGATCGAGGTTAGCAGAACAAGCTACAGGTCAAACGTGAAGAAATTCGAATGCTTCACTTCTATCTGAAGTTTGTGCTGATGATGTTGTTCAGAAGAACAATGAAAGCTCCACAACCAAAACACCTAGCTCAGAGAACCAAACACCACCATCACAATCATCCACCTGAGCTGCAAATCTTCTCCACCATCTCAAAGTCATTTAATTAATTATCCTGTTAAGAATCATTAGCTACTTACGTACTGATGCATGTCACCCTTAATGGAGTATAGGCCGCCGACAAGCATTCTCTAGTCTACTCTATCCCTAACTCTTCTCTCAAGTTGTTCCCAATTGCTATTCATTCAGTTCAGGTCTGTTTCTAGTTTTCGGCGCAGTGCGTTCCTCAGTCTACCTCTTTTTTCTTTTGGTCCTAAATGTTCCAAATTACCAGTTACCGCATGATGCGGTTAGTTGATTTCCGAAATGTATGTCCTATCCACCTCCAACGCTTTTCCCTAATTTCTCCCTTAATAGCAATCTAGTTTGTTCTCTCCCATAGTATGTTGTTGCAGCTGGTGTCTGGCCAACGGATGAGGAGTATCTTGTGCAGACAGCTATTATCAAACACCTGTATCTTTTGGATAATGGCATTTGTAGTTCTCCAACTCTTCACTACACTCAGCAGAACTGTCTTGACGCTCGTACTGAAAATTCTGACTTTGGCGTTGGCTGGTGGTTGTTCTGAGTCTCAGATCTTTCTCAACTGACTTTGCTTATAATCCTAAATACTTATGACTGAAACTACACTTGACTCTCTCTTCTATTCCCATGTTTTCCATGGTCCTTCTGAGATGCTTATTGGTGTACATGTGGTCGATTTGGTTATCCACAGTGCGGTCCCGTGAAACCCATCTAGCATTGTGTATACGTTTATATGGAAATATGGCGTAATGACCGGTTTGTTGAAGGCACATAGTTTTGCGAATATCTCACTGTTTTCTTTCCTTTCCCGCAGTCCATATCTTTTAGTCCATGTTGTCTCATGATATCATCATTTCCAGTGTAGTCCATTCTAACTTTGGCATATGCGTCTCTCATCAAAATAGTGTGTGAGAGACATTTTCCTCTTCTTCAAGGCCGGACTACAACAGCATCTCTCCTGAAGCCAGTCTTGTGTGTGTCCAATGTGTTTCACTTATTCCGAGTACCTCCAGTTTCACAGCAACTTGAATGGTGCTTCTTGTCCCACATATTTAGCGAACATTGCATGTACCCATATTAATGGCTGCTCCAGTTGTGAGAAGGGGCATCGGCCTCGTGACTCCCGAAGAAACTCAGCTTTCACCATAAGGCGTTATAACCCTTCATGAGAGAATTAATTGAATTACTTGTTCTAGTAAGCGATTTTTTTGGCAAGTTATTTTTATACGGAATGGGTTCGCTGACTCCATGATCAACCGTCCTCCTTTATCATTTTTTGAGACCGGCACTAACGCAAAGTGGGATTATCCTGTTAAGAATGCTTGTATGTTAATAACATCGTTTAAAAAAGAAACACATTAGTTTTAAATCATTTTAGAACTTATGACATCTGCCTATTAACTTCATCTGTCAACCATCAGAAATGAGATTTGTTTGATATTATAATGAATAATAAAACTGATGGGAATCCACTAAGATTAATGCTAAAAGATTTTATACGGTTTACTCTTTTGATTCATCAATATATGAATAAAGAGGGGTACTTTTTCTCACGAACTGATTGTCTCAGTTTTACTGCAATAAAAAACTCATTACACAGTTGATTCGTCAACATTCAGAAATCCCCATCAGCGACCATCTACAAATCTGCATAGATTCCCAGTTCAAACAGTCATTTCAAGCAATGAACACGAGATTGTTCTATTAATAACAACATGAAGATATTCAGTTAATAATAAAACTAGCTATTTAATGTGCTCTCTTACTTTTCACGATCTTCTTCAATTGACATTTGTTTAAATTGCAACTGTTTCAGTAAATCACTCTGATAAATATGAAAATTGTATTTTTTTTCTTTTGTTTTTTAAAACAATAACTGAAACAAGTAAGTGATAAAAATAGAAATAACTATTCGATTGGTTAGCTTAAAAGATAAACAATTTTATTTCTCTTAGTAATTTTTAAGCCTTAATTTTATGCTTGCTAACTTACATTTGGAGAGTCAAAAAAATGTAAAAATAAGTAGTAATATTTTCTGTAGAAAAATTCTATAACAATTTATTATTATCACTGATTTTTTTCTTATGATCCAATACAATCTCACTGTTAGTTATCGTTTTTCGAAAAATCAGTAACTTTCAAAGTTTACTCTGAAATAAAGCTTAATAACATCGGGAAAAGCTTGGAGTGTCTAATCTTCAAGTATAAATAAAAACACCTAGTTAGTTTTTTAAAATAGTTTTTGATCAGTTAAATGTGTATGAATTGGTGTATTCTACTGCTGATGGTATGATAGAAACGTCTGTGTGTCTATCATAGAATAATAATACACGGAACGTTAGTTTTAATATCTGAACTTGCTACTTGAATCTTTTTAAAATATTAACAAGAGAAATAAGTATCATTTAGTGATCATTTATTAGTGATTTTTCCTAGTCAAAAAACATTGGACTATTAATGCCAAGTAGTTATATTACTTTTAAATATCAGGTGGTGACCTTTTTGAATAAACATATATTTCTGAAAAATACAGATTTTAATTAAATTGAATTTAAACTGATATTTCCATTCTTTGACGTCAGCATAACAAGAAGGCAGGTCAAAGGTTATGGAAAAAAGGCCTAGATGGATTAAAAAATAAGAACTTAAATATGAAAAGTACTTTGAAAGGACAATGTACACATTTCTTTAGCTACATTTCCGTGTAGTGCAAAAAACATTTTATGAAAACACTTGGAATCGCCAGTTCATTTTGTGTCTGAGAAGGTGATATGTAGCATTAGTTATATAGTATCATCCATCTTAATATAGATTACTACTCTCTGCTTTTTCCTAATAGACATAATGAAACTAAAGCTAAAACTAAGGAAGTTTTATGATGGACCTTTCGACAACCAAAACTGTTTATCTTAAATAATGAATCAATTTGATTGTAACAAGAGACAATTCAAAGTCAAAGCTGTTTTATTCAACTTAATCACTCAATCCTTCTATTTTTCCATTATAAAAAAGGCTTAGAACTGCGTACAATACTTCATTCAATTTCTAACTGCCTACGTAATGCATTCAGAGCAATTACCAGTAACTTTCTATAATGAGGATTTTAAAATTTAAAACAAGTGCTTAGATTCAAATGAACAAAAAAATGATTATCATAGAAAATGATTTATTAAAACTTTTGTTCAACATTTTGATACAACTTCATGCATATAATCATTTCATCAGCTGATGCAATGTATTTGTTTAAAGAGCATAAAATTTCTTTGTCATTCTTTTTATACAGGCAATCAGTTAATCAATAAGTTACCTTCTGTTCAACATTTATCAGTCAACTACTCACTGAATTTGTGTCAACCTATCAGATGAGCTTCTTTTTTTCCTTAAACTCAAAGTTCGAACCTAGACGATTCGTAATCTAATTTGGCTATTTGGGATTTTTAAGTGTAATTTAAATTTAAAAATTTAAAAGCTCAATTTCTTTTACTGATCTAAATAGGCATGGAACAGTTAGTAGTGATGTTAAGCTAGAAGTTGTATTCTGTTGTTTAAAATAATGTAAATTAATTTAAAACATAACCTATTGTCTTCACTGTGATACGATCATATGATCTGCATTTGATTTCATATTAAAATTAATATTTCTCCCGTGATTTAATGAATTCAGCAGACAATGATTCAGGGGATTCATATCACAACTAGTCGATACTGAACCCATCCATACTAATCACTTATAGAGGTTCTGTGAACATTCTGTACAATCTAAATGGAAATTTATTTACGAACTAGCATCGACTGGAACAAAAAATAAAGACAAGATATAACATTTGCCATTTTTTACTAGCTGAAAACTTCTGCAAAGTATAAACCCGAAAAAATTACATGCTTATCATCCAAGAAACTACACTTCATGTTTTAACATTGGTGACACTGAATACATTGCCAGATCATAAAATGATTAAATCTAGAAATATTTATCTAGTGGTTTATATGTGTTATACGTTTTGTATGATCTGTAGTTCATAGATTCACTTACATGTAAATTAATTGGTGCTTATTTTAAACAAGTGTAAAAACGAAAAATTAATAAGCTTTTTTCTGGTTATGTCAATTTTAGCTGAAAGTACAATTAAATAAAACAACATCTCCGAAAACAACACAATGGTAAATATTATTGAATATACTGATTAAGATTAACCTCGTCAATTTTATGTATCTTTTAATTTTTTGAAACTTAATCTGATATGAACATTATAAATTTATAGATTGATAAGATATTTTCAAACAACAAATATAATCCTTAATAAAGGATGAAAATGTTTGTTTTTCTCCCTTAAACAATTCTGATCATATTTTATTGAGTTAATGTTTAAAGAAAATACGGCATTGCTTGTTAATAAGAACTTTTAAATAAGTGTCTAAATCAACTTCACTTTTTTTAATTGTTAACCAAAAAAAATTGTAGAATTTACCTTACCATGTATTTAGTCATGCAGTTTTACAATTCATGTTGTTGGCTTCATTTAATTGATAATAATAATAATAATAATTTGTCTATGATGTTTTGTTGTTTTTTTAATTCTTATTTTTCGGCGGCAGACTACCCACATAATCATTGTTACCTTGACGATGAGACATTAAAAAATCGTTCAGCTTCTTTGATAACATTTGTTTGTTTTTTTAAATAAAATAGAATGCAAATAAAAAAGAACGCTATTCAACAATAGTGAATAGAATAGAATTATATTTAGATCAAAGTACTACCAAGAGAGATCAATAAAGAACTTTGATAGTTTACCATGAATTAAGAAGCACATGTTTTATTCGGAAAGGAATCATTTGATGCTTTGTATGTTTATTATTACTGTTTCACTTTTCTGATTATTATTTGTTTTTTTATTTAAATATTTATTCTTTACAGACTTGTCAGTTCATATCGTACACTATTTTGGCATTTATTTGGAAGTAGTCAGTCGGGTAATTTCGAAGTGACATTTGTAAATAAAACTAGCGGTGAACGTGAACGTATGGAATCAGCTAGAAATACTATGGTTGTAGGTGAAATCCTACTATTAATTTATCATGCTATGGCAATTATAGTTTTAGTAAATATGTTAATCGCTATGATGTCCAATTCATTTCAAACTATACAGGTATGTATACATGTATGTGTATTTCTATTTAATACCATATTATAAATTAAATAATCTACTTATTAGTTTTCACATTAAAATCTCTAGGTGGATATTAATTTCATTATGAAGAATTACTTTATGCATGAATTTAACTGACGAAATAGTATTCACCACCTGAAAATATTTATCTCTTGAAATATTACATAGATAGAAATGAATGAGATTATTTATTGATAATCAACAATTATAATGATTTTATTGAATCTTAGTAAATATTTTATTCATTGACAAAATACTCTAAAATTTTTAAACTTTGAATTTAACTTTCACAAAATCATATATTTAGCGAATATTCTTCTAAACAACCTTGTTAATATCCTTGCGTATTCTGTTTGGTCATCGCGGGCATTGGTAAATAAACTGTTTGGTGTTTTAGTCTGTTTTCCAATATAGTTGACTGGAATTGAAAATCAGTCATGATAGTGGTGATGTAGGTTTTAATTTTATTGTGTCGATTAAAATATTCAGCTGAATCGCTTTGAGCATTCTAACATGAAAATGAATTAGCCAACAGTGGTTATCAATGGCTTTTTGTAAGACAAGAAATTTTCTTGATGAAGTTATTAATTTTCTGATCAAGATATAATGTGTCATTTAATCAGGCATTAATTTTCACTGAGACTCACACGTACACATATCCTCATAGATGCTAATGTCATATGCTGGGCAATTGAGTAACAATAAGTTTCTATCGAGAAAAAAGTACGTGTTTAAATCAAACACTCGATAAAGACCACCACATGTACACCTAGGAAAATATTTGCACAAACAGTAACAGAATTAGAAATAGTTAAATATCTTCTTCATGCATATGTTTTATCTAATTAATGGGAGGGAAGATAAAGAAAACACTGAATAACAGTGTTCAAGAATTTTAAGTAAGTGATTTGAAAATTTAAATGTTAAACAGTAACTGTTGTTGAAACTAGGTTCTTCTCTGAATATATTTGATGCATACTGATGATCATGCAAGAGAAGAGATCACTACTTGTGAGTAGCAAACAATTAAGGTTAGACTAGAGCCGTGATTGATGTATTCGCTTTATCCGCAAGCCACTCTAATGATAAAAAAGGAAGGCTAAAAGTTGAAAAAGATATCATTTACGGCATAGATTTATCCAATTATGCCCTTGCAATCATGACATACAAATGATTTTCGTTTACCCGCAAGTGTAGATAGTTAAACATCTATTCAATGTATTACAAACTCAGAAAAACTAAGATAAGGTTTTTTTAATGACATTAGACAATATAGCAACTCTCCAGCAAAACCACATATTGAACGTGAAAAACTCCAGTTGTTCTGGTTTGAGGATGATGAATTTCATTAGTAATAAACATCTTAGTTAAGAATTTTGATATGACTACTGCATATCATTAAAATCAAAAACTAAAGTCAAAAATAAAGTTCAAATATCCTTAATGTAATACAGGTTGACCATCATTGAAACCGTGAAGCCCACTCAAGCAACTGTTGCCTTTTCATAAGCTGCTAAATATCTAATACTAAAGATGATTATGAAAGATTGCATTAGCTATTTCAAACTCTTTTTCCTTTCAACAACTTACTGTAATACATATATATATATTAGTCACTGTAGGATCCGAACTGAGGTTTAGACTGAGGAATAACTGTCCAGGTAGTTTAGATACGCGTCTTGCCGAGTTTAAAACCAAAACAAGTGAGTTGCGTAAGTGACGATTCTAATACTCATCATAAATATAAATATGCATTATTACCTAAACAAATATTACCACTCAGTTATTCCACCAACAATTGTTCAATTAATCAAATCAACAGCAACAGGTAACTGATATTCTATCCCTCCTGAATAGATCATATTCGTTCGACAGATAATATTTGGTTACTTAGTAACACAGAATGTTTCCTATACTGGAAGAGTGCTTCAATTCACAATTCCAGTCAAAGCAAGCAACACAATCAAAAGAGGAACAAATAAATATGGCTGTCGCCATGACTAAGTATCAACTTAAACAACATAAATGCAGTTCAGAAGGAAACATGGAAACTCAGTGAAGACAAAAGAAATAGAAACTATAATAAAATACAAATATTTTCATCTCAAAATGGAATTGAACTGACTGACAAAATGTACAACTGAAGGAATCAATAAGGAAAAATTACAAATGTATACATGGATGGATTTTCACGAACAAAGCCTTTCAAAAATGGATCTTACAGTCACTATTATGTTGACAGAATACTTATCTGACTTAGGCTTACGTTTGAAACCCGGAATCCGAAAACATCAAATGAGAATACAGTGATTAATAATATGCATTTATTAAAACCTGGCAATGCATTCGTTTGTACATTCGTTTCACTCACACTTCATGACTAATTGACAATTATTTATCATACACAAGGGAAATAAACAGAACTATTACAAAAATTCAGGTTACGAATTTCATACTGAATTGAGATGCAAAGAATATATAAATATATAAAATAGTAAATAAATATATTAAATAAAATAACTCAAACTTATAATGTGAAAACTAACAAATAACAAACACATTGAGCAATCAAAAATTAAATTAATAAAGGAAGTTGAAAATGTTGAAAAATGTCCGAATAAGTTAGAAACATAAAATTTTTCCTCCTTTGAAAATAGGCTTAACTTCTCAAATTCAACTAGTATAGCTTTGGGATATATATATATTTATGTATAGGTAGTCAACTGCCAAAAGTGTTTACAATTCAACCGTATTATACATTTAGTTTTTTTTTATTGCTCACACACACAAATAATAATAAGAAAGTATTTCCAGTTAAATTGAGCTTATTTAACAATAAATCAAAATATTTTGAATTTAAAAACGTTCTCTACTCGCAAATTTTGAATTTCTAAACCTTTAACAAAAAAGAGAAAGATACCATACAAAGAAAATAAGGTAATGGAAAGGTGAAGAAAAAAAATTACACTCCTATTCATTTTCCATTGAGATTTGTTTTCTGTTTGTAAGTAAAATAAATTTTTTTTTTGAAAAGAAAAGAAAAACAAGAAAATTTTGTATTGAACAACAAAAGAAGTTTTGAGTGTGTGTGTGTGTGTTCTTCTGCTTCTTTTTTTCGAATACTTCTTTTGTGGCATTCACACATCTCATAGTTAACTGTGTTGTTTCCCATGAGAATTACCACTTTTTTTTTCTTTTGAATAAGTAGTATAATAATAAAATAAATTTACAAAGAATCATTGTGTAATTACAGTTGGGATTTTTTTTTTCACTTTTCTATAATCATTATTGTTATGATTAAATTAACGATAAATCATTCGTTGCTTAAATTTGTTTTGTAAACAAAATTTAGATTTACTGATATTCATAAACTTTTTATGAGTCATATCATTGATATTATTTAGATATAGTGTTAGTTAAATGGCTTCAATTACATTCGGAATAATTCATTGAGTTGATGAAGATAGCAGTATTAGTGAACATAATTATCCGTGAATTGATCGAAGTTAGATATTAACACCTTTAGATATCAGCTTGGTGGTCCGGAGGTTAAGCGTTAGAGCGCAAGACCGAAGGTCCTAGGTTCTAGTCCTGCGAGGTACATGAGTCATGGATGCGCACTGCTGATGAGTCCCATATCAGGACAAAACGGCCCTCTTTCAGTGCTTACAGGTTTCTAATGGTAGTCCAACATTGATCGATTCATGATTTCAAATGTGTAACTTAACAATCTTCACAACCCTGTAATATAATTATCTCAATAATCAAAATTTGAAATTGAATTATTGAGTTATTGAAGCATATTCATGTGTTGTGAACTTTGTAATATAAATATTTGAGAGAAATCAAATGAAAAAGGCTGTATTATCTCGAAATGTAATCTCGTAAATATATTATTCAGTCAGCTGCAACGTAGAACTTTGTACGTAAGTACATCAGTTCATGTTGCCATACCACATTAGCACAGAGAAGCAATTTTCAGTTCAAATCTCATAGTGCTAGAGATAGTAGAAGTACTACTGGTAAAAGAGAAGATTAGGGTTCGAAGATATTATTGAAGAAGTATGATTCAGTGAGAAAAGTTTAGAAAGTCAAAACTGGAGGTGTAGAAGAATCCAGAAGATTAGGATTTGAGAGAACATAAAAAATAAATGCACCGGCGTCACTGCAAACGATTTTGAGCCATGTCATTCAGGGTCTCTAACCATTGATCATCATCGTCTCGCGGACCCCAACCAGGTAGACGACAACTACCGACATGAGTCAGTCCACTTGTCAATGACTTCATGGATTGCTGTCATGTTTTGGTCTGGCCGTCCATAATTTTCTTTCAACCTGCTCCTACACCACAAAACATAGCTCGTCAAGGAAGTCGGTGGTTGGGCGTTCCAACCACCTCAACTGATGAATATTCAATACTTCATCTACTCAATGCGCATTATTTCAACCGTCTTCAACAGATAACTTTGAACAATTTTCACTAAGTATAATTTATGGTTGATATCAAAACAAATTGGTGGCATTTTTTACTTGACAAAAATATGCATAAAACTAAAGTTAACTGAATAAAGTTCGTTCAATTAATATTATAAATTATGATTGTGGTTTCATTTTTTAAGTAATGAATGCTCATTACTGAATATAAATAAATGTTGCTTATTCCAGTAATATTCTAGGTTTAGTGTCAGTTTTGTTTATAATTATTTTATCAATTTATACAAAAATATTCTTTAATATTCCCATGTTGAGTTGTTTTGGGAGTAAACAGTAGCTTTGTGTATCAAGCATCATAGTTTCAATCAGCAAGTCATCATTTCAAATGGTATTACACTAAATTCAGTATAAACTACCTGGTAGTATCCATAATCCTTAAGTAAAAGTGGTAGGTTCGTCAATAGGTACGCTTGAAGCTATTACGAGTTCACCTTAGTCGACAAGCGCGAACGAGACTTTTACCAGCGTCCAGATAGGCTACCTTGAATCCCAAGCTCTAAACAGAAGGCTTGGTAAGCGTAGAAAGTATATTCTACAAACACCCAGCAATCACAATACAATCAAGCACACAACTCTCGTTTATTTACACATCATAGAAACGTCCTTGGGACAGTTACGAAAAGAGCACACTAAAATACGCAGCAGCCAATCACAGTCATGGATTTTCCTGGTGGGAAATGAAATCTCAAGGTCAACTGATCAGCCCATGCCACAAACGTGAAATCCAAAATTAGGCATTTATCAAGTGAGTTCTGGGGATCTAACATCCTCAACAAAAAGGGATGTAAATCTGTAATCAGCCAAAAATTTGAAAGATGGAAGATGGTGGTTTAGTAGTTACTGTTTTCGTCTTTCAACTTGGTAGGTCACAAGTTGAAACAAGAACTTGTGTTACGATAGATGAAACACGTTATTAAACACGTTACTCCTAGTAATAATAAACTTACCTCAAACTAAAAAAATGAAAGGTCCTACAATACATAGTCTGACACTAAATTCAATAACTTTTCTATTCCATTATACTTTCTGAAATATAAATTCTGATTTTATATGACCATTAGATATAATCTTATCTGGATACTTGATTGCTAAATTGATATTAAAAGCATTGTTAGCAGATTATGGGCTAATAAGATGGGCATCGTTCTTCCTTTACGAAAATATTGTGCTTTTAGATCAAACCTCTGATCTTCATTATCTTTGACCCCGACCTCAGTTAAATATCAAACAGCTATAAACACTCACTTCAAACAGTTCGAACTACAGAAATAAAAGTTGACATTTAGATGTAAAATACGAAACTTGTCGAATGTTATATTATCTAACTAAGAAGCATTTATTTCCATTCATTTAATTGGACACAGAGATTTGTTTTATTCATAAAAACTTGATCGGGAAATGAGATATGCTATCGAGACAAAATGTGGAAATTCAAAAATTATCAGTCACTAACTGTTACAAATACGTTTCTTTTAAGTAATTTGATATCAATCCGTCTTCATTTTTGATAGGTTTGCAATCACTATACAGTTTATGACAAATTTAACTCCATATAATAAATAAATCTTTGCATTTTGTGTTTTAGAATCACGCAGATACAGAATGGAAATTCGCTCGAAGCAAATTATGGGTCGGTTATTTTGATGAAGGATCAACGCTTCCGCCACCGCTTAATACAATTATAAGTCCTAAATCTATAATAAGATTTCTCTGTGGGATATTCCATTTCATAATTTTATTAATAAAAAAATGCCGAGATTGTAAATTGTCTGGAAATAGCAATAGCATTAACAATAAACACAAGCAGACCAAATTACAGACACTGAACCTTCATTCCAATCAACCAACAAATCAAGCAGAGTGGGATATTGAAATACAAGAAACAAATACAAGTGGAAATCTTTCCAATCCTGATGTTACGAATAAACAGAAGCATGTAAGAAAGAAATTTTCCATTTAAGCTTTCCTAAATGCACAGTTATCCTTATCACCTGAATTAAGTTCACCTACAAATTAGAATATTCGTCTTGCCAGTATATTTTTTTGAATGATTTCAAACGTGTGAATAAGATCTGTTACGCTATGATAATCGTGTATACTATAGTGACTCAGTTCGTGATAAGTTTCCTAAGTTCTCATTGCTAAGTCACCACTGATGTAGTTCAGTCACTGGGGGAAATGCAACAGTTATCATGATTTGATTGAAATTGAGAGTTCGTATAATTGAATATCAACCAAGTGGTTTAATAATAATGCTCTAACAGTTAGACCTATGTGTAGCGGTTCGGACCTGCGTTGAAATATGGAATATATGCTGTTGATTACTATACCATGATAACATAACTACCCTATGCTCTCTAGCAGTCAATATCATATTTCATAAGGTTAGTCTATGATAACTACTACTTACAATAAATAACCTAAAAAAATGTATATCAGATTTATTAGGAACTTTTTAAAAGTTTTATTCAACATGTGTAACGAATCAAAAAATTATAAAATTTAATTTTCCTTATGTTAAAATTTTAATTTATCAAATATTTTCACTCTTAAACGCTTTATTTTAACTTTCTGACCAGTACTTACCTAAGTGTATCATTTGTTTTATTAAAAACAGGAACAAGATTGATGAGATAATCAGAAGTTAGCATTTCTTACAGCTTATCAGTGTACATACATAATTGCTTTAAAGCTCACTAATGATCATCAAGAGAAATTCAAATAATTTGCTAATGATCTTTTATTCCTTTGTTATATAAATTAATCTATTACAGTTTAGTTGTTTTATTAAAGTGAATGAAACAAAGAAAATGTCAATCACTGTTCAATGATAAAAATTAATTTCAAAACATTATTTAATTGAACCCTAAAAGTGATCTTTTGTGCGAAACTTCGATGCACAAAAATGTTCATTCAATAAATATTATATTAACCGATCAGGGTAAACAATTTTCATAAGATACACTTTATGAATTAGATAAAATTTTAATAAAAAATTAACATTAACATACAATCATACCAACTAGTTAAATATTTAAACTGAATCACAAAAAATTATGTTTCAATCAACAATCTTCAATCCTTTCAAGTTTCATCGATTTTAGTTTGGTTAATTTAAAAATTGTCATTTATAAAATTAGATAAACAAGGAAAATTTGAATTTTTCTTGTAAATTACTAAATTATACAATTCACAATGTCATATGAATTACCAAGTGTAGGACTGTTTTATATTATAAAATAATATAATTTTTTAACATAAATTATACAATCGTAGTTCATTAATTTGAAAATACAAATTATTCATTGTATTCATTTACTTTTCAACGAATATTAGTTTTACTGAAAATTTTATCCCTCCTAAACGAAGAATTTGACTTATTCGAATATATATATATATATATATGTTTACAATCATTACTTTTCTCTTCTTATTTCAGCAATCAATGAAACAGAGCAAACGAAAAACTTACTATCAGGTTAGAAAGCAATTAAATTACTATGCCCTTTTTTTTCTTTTAAAAAGATTGCTTTAGAAAATTATTACATATATATGGAACAAAAGGTATTGATTTTTGAAAAAAATCGATTTTCACTGAAGATTCGTGATTATGAGTTACATACTTAACATGAGATTTTGTGTTGTGTGCTTAACTAATAAATCACAGACAATTTTATTCGCGTTGGAAATTAGTTACTAAATTAAATCCACAAATTTGAACGTACCTAGATATTAATTGAATTCATTGTCACAATTTTGTGCTTTGAAAAGTCAACATCTTATCCATCGATAAGCTACAAAATAGCGATCATTGAAAACTTTCTACAAAAGCGCGATTGCTCAACATAAAGAACTTCACTTGAACTACTGTATCTTAATCAGGTTATAATAATTGCAAAATAGTTTTCTTCGCTTTGCACAAAAAATAATCTAACATAAGCAATAATCAAATGTTTATTATATTATTGAAAATTAATTATCGAATAAGTTTACAATGATCTTCTGCAACAGTTTCTAAAAGTTTGGAAACATAAATTCTCAAAATGTTCTATTTTAATTTCGTTGATCAGATTTATTACAGGATATTATATTGAAATTATCATAAAAAAACGGCACCTGTCACAAATTGTAATGTTATTTTTTGTCTCTACTCAAGGATTTCATTTTATATTATCTTTATTTTTGGATTTTTTTTCTATCTATCAACCCTTCATCTGTGGTCGAATGACATAGAATCGATTAAACGTAATTTTATTAGTTTAAAACTATAGAGAGCTGTGTAATTATTTGAATAATTCACAGTCACATTTAAATATAGTTAGCATATTCGAAACCAGTTAGTCAATCTGATAAATTTAGATGGTATAATAAAAATAAATGAAGATTATCAGAACCAGGTGGTAATATATCACAAAGTTCTGGCACTCTTAACTAATCTCCGTAACTCTAATTGAAAATATCGTAAATTGTGCTGACTAGTGACCAGCTTTGTGAGGAAATTCTCGGAGTTCTAGTTGAGAAGACGTGATTAATGGAGTTCAACCCTGTCGAGTGTAGGCAGTAACTACCAAAGACAAATGGGTGAGGTCGCGCAAAATCCCTAGATCAATCAGAGTTGGATATTAACACCGTTGGATGCCGGCCCAGGCGTTCACGCACAATACCGAAGGTCCCGGGTTCGAATCCTGTGAGCTGCAGGAGTCATGGATGCACACTTCTGATGAGTCCCATACCAGGACGAAACGGCCTTCTTTCAGTGCTTCCAGGTTTCTAATGGTGGTCTAACAATGACTGATTGATTGATTGATTTCAAATGTGTAAAAACACTAGTCTCCATAACTCTAATTGAAAATCTTCATCATCTTAATACACTATTCAAATTTAACATGCCCAAATTGAAATCAATATTTCAAGACTGGTTTGTAATTACACTTGAGTAAACTGAAAAACAAAAAAAAACGAAATCTGATTAACAATATAAAAAGTATTCATAGTGACTGGTATTTTTATAATATGAATTGTAAGTTACTGTTAATGGCAACGATCTTTAATTGTTTTATGGAAAAAACATATATAGGATTTCAAAAATTATTTTGTAAAAAGAAAACAAATTGTAAATTGAATTAGAAAAGTTACACAATTTATTTGTAAATACAGTCATAATTATTGATTATGAATCCTGACTTTTGGAATAAGAAACGTGTGAACTACATAGATTCATACCTTGTAAGGAATCTTAACTTGTAATGTCTTATAAATTTTGTTTTCTAAATTACATATCTTGGAATTCTGTTTACTACCATTCACTTTTTAAGTTAAATTTTAATCGTTGAACAGACGGAATCTTCAAACTTTGGTTTCATGATTTCGATTAAGTAAATAAAGTTCAATACAGTACTTTATTGAGTTTCAGCTATTAGGCTACTACTTTACACATACAAATCAAATGTTTTATCAACATATATATATATATATATATATAATTATTGTAGAACGAATAAACCGTATATCATATATGTATATACATTCAGTAACAATATTCAATGATAATTAAAACCGAAATAGAGAATGAATTAACTCTCACATTTTCAGATTTATCACATTTGAAAATTATATTCGGATAATATGCTTTACATCAACTCTAATTTATTCTTATATTCATTGAAAATGTTCTCTAATATTAATAAATGGAATAAAGATTAGAACATTGTTTAATCGTTAAACTCAATTAATATTATTCTTATACTCGTCTATTGATAAGCTTGAAATTATTACGAGTTCAGATTAATTGTTAAACGAGAGCGAAGACAAATGATCCAGGGACACGATAGGCTATTCTAATCCGAGCGTCCCAAGGGCCCACTAAGTAGAGGAGAAATGGCTTAGAAAGTGTATTCTACAAGAAAATATGAGGTTCACAAGCACACAAATCGAGTTTATTTATCCATGATCGAAACGTCCTTGGGGGGTCACAAAAATAGCGTACTAAAACAATATATATCAACCCATAACAGCCGAGGATTTTCCGGGTGAGAAATGTGATCTCAAGGTCAAATGATCGGCCTACGCTCTAAAACAAAAAAACCCAAAATTAGGACCTTTATCAGTTGACTTCTGGGAACCTAACGTCCCCAACAATTATTACTAATCACATACAATGTGACATACATTGTTCATAAGGGAGCTAAGAACCTAATATACAATAAAACTTTGAAAGCCATGAACTATATTCTAATCTTATCGGATTTTCCATTCATGTTTCTTTTTCCTGTATTATTATTACTATTATTATTATTATTATTATTATTATCAGCTTCATCATTTGAAATTATTTATGCATTTTCATCATAATTGTTTCTATGAAACTACTATGTATATACATACATGCATAAAACTGGCATTTTTGGGCGTTTCTATAAATATATATATATATTGTAATATAAACAGTAAATGCAATATCAAAATCGAATCAATAACAACCAACCAGATTAGTGTGATTTATCACACTGTCTATTTTTTTTCTCAATCATGTATACATATGAATCTAATGCACAAATTCACTGACTACCTTCTATTTTTTTTCAACTAATTTCTTGCTCATTATTGTGATTGTTTTGTTTGTTTGTTTTTTTAATAAACTTTATATGTGACCAATATTAATAATATGAGGAGGATAGGAATTTTGTTTTTGAATAGTAGTAAATTATACTACTATAATACTACTACTTAAATAATTAAATCTGAATTTCATGACTATCAGTAATAATAATAATAATAATAATTGTGTCGATGCTAATTAAAGACTGATGTTAATAATAATGATTTTTATTAAAAAAAATAAGTGGTAACCATGACTTTTGGAAAGTGAGATAATAACACTTTTCATTGAAATCAATCAATATTGATAAAATAGTAGTTTTAATATCAGTCTAAAACTACCGTGACAACAGAATACCAAAAGTTGAATGCTAACGATTATCAAAAGTCAGGAATGAATTTAAGATATTCTTTTCCGAATCATTTATTGATAGTGAACGATTCATTAGCGAACTAGATAATATGTCATGCAGTTCAAGCAGGTTAAGTCACTGTTTGTTGAAACAAACAGAATAAATTGCCCCAAATACTTTTTTTATAGAACTTCTTTGTTTCATTCAAACAAATAAGATATTTTTTGATGTTCGAAAACATAAAAGAATGTGGATGGTGATGTTCAAATAAAATTTGATCGATTTTCTTTTCTGGAATACTAAAGAAATAATGAAACAAGTTCATTTTTTTTTTGACTGGAAAAAAAAATGTTCTAATCATTTTGTTTCCATTATTTTTTTTTTCTGTGATATCAATTTCTTATCAAAATGATTTTAATTGCTTAAAACATTTTGAAAAAAATAATCAGTCAAGTAATACAATTCTTCCTAATAAACAATCATCCCTAATTTCTGCTAATTATTTTATTGTATTCAATTTATACTGTTATTATGTAGAAAACAAGCAATGTCAAAAGTTTCCTTGGGTTATGAAACGTTTTGACCAAGTTCATTCATTACGAAAAATTCTCGAATTATCTAAAGAATATAGGAATGTTTAAGGATGATTACACTTAGAATATAATCGACATTAAGTAATATTCTATAATGGTCTGAATAAAATCAGTAAATATATGATGACTACTGAAATTCGTTCTAATTGAATAAAATATATGTCTAAATCATGTTAAACCGATCTAATGTAAAATACAACAACAGTTATGTGTGACACTTTGGTATGCACTACTTACGTCAGGGCTTATAAGTTGTAGTATGCATTGAATGTAGAGCAGAATGTCACTGTGAAGTTATGATAGAGAAGAGAAGTGTAGGATACGGATTTATAGCAGAATCTGAGTGTTTTGAAGAAAATGTAGATAAAAACGGATAATAATATCATCGTTTTAAAAATGGATGTTTTATGATAAGGTGTACACTTTTTGGCTACTTGATTGTTTTCTCCTAAGAATCCTCTCTAAGGTCTGGAATTCCGTCTTCGTTTACAACAATACTGTTTTCATCAAGATAATGAAGAACTCAGATAGAAATTTTTTAGTACTCCATCTCACTCGTTAAGAATATTTTTCAATATGATGTTTTATTTACTGATATAGTACTGTACACGAAAAGCCACATGTCATCAAAATGCTTTTCAACAACAAAATATGTACTAATTATGCGTGGAACATAATATACCTTTTATAGTATAGAGCGACCTGTACATAATACCAAAACAAAATACAGACATTCATTCAAGTATCAACAGCACTTGGAATGAAAGTTATTTTTTTCGCTGACTCCTGTAATTTCACTAATAACAAGTCTTGTTGTGTCAAAGGTAAATGTAAATCGTAGAATGTTTTAGGAAGTTTATTACTGTGAATAGTGTTTTGATAGTATCATTGTATTTGTTTTCAAAGTCAGATATCAGTCATAGTGTACTTATGATGATGTCGGTTATAAATACTATAACTATTAAGCACAGATTTTCTACCAAGTCGCCTATTCCCTAAAATAGTTCTAGAGCTAATATCCCAATCACAAATCATGCGTCAATAATTTGCATGACTGTCTAGTGAAATGTAGAAAATAAGGTTATAACTGAAGCGAAATGAAAGACCGAGTTATTTTATTCATGACAAACTTTTGACTGGTTAGAAAGGGAAGAACAGTAAAGCAGATAAATCAATCAGTGAAACACCACAACATAGTTTCTATTAAATAAATTTTCATTGATTGATATTCATGAACATTTTAACCAAACTACAGATCCTTTAAAAAACTGAGTATTATTTATACAGAGCACACTAAACAGCAAAGAAAGCCATCAAAATCGTGTAATTGATTCGCTTTTCAATTAAGATGTAAGTAAATCACTCATAAAAATTATCTCCATACTATTTCACTGGCTAAACAGGATTTCGAACCAAATAGCGGCGGAATGGGTGAAGTTTCAGTTAGCTGTAAATAGTGGTAAACTTAATCTAAATTACTAGCTAGAAGTCAATATTTATGGTTTTTCCAATTCTGTAATGGCCTCGGTTGACGTCTCAATAGTTCAATAACAATAAATCGAACTATAGTATCAGGTGACAAGTACGGTCTCTGAACAATTCGACCTTAAATGTATGACAAAACAATCATCTATCTGAAACAAGGTACTACCCACTGAATATACCAATAATAAAACAACCGTACTACCGAACATTCTCACTCAATATTCTTCCCGACTACAAGAATTCGAAGGTGGATCGTTTAAAATTAATTTTACTTCAAAGTGATTTATTTCCTTTACTAAAGTGTTTTCGAATATCCCTTAAGACTCAAAAACACTTGTTTTATTTATATTACTGAATAAATGACGAGTAGTTCAAACCGAAATACACAATAAACGCATGAAAGTTGACCAGTACTTTAATTCATTTAAATAAAACTCGATTATGTATAGAATATTATAGAAATATGAAACAAAGTTTGTACCTTATAAAACTATCAAAAATGAACGGGACTGGCTAATATTAGAACACGCATACCAGTCTTTTATTTCAAACGTTTTAAAACTACAACAAACCAATGATTCGCTCTCAAGTTTGAATAAATTAAGATTATAAACACATATCTACTATATGAAGCAACTCATATGATAATCTTGAGAATTTTAAAATGAAGAGCAGTTGTAATTGCGACATATTCGGATATAAATCAAAGATGACATTCAAAAATAGAAAACGTCATTAAAGTTAAGTGGACTACATTCAAGAGCACTCTTCTTATGATGTGCTGTTTGGAACGGATTTACATAGATTTAAAGTCTAAATAAAGTCAGGCTGCATCCAAGTTGTGTAAATGGTGAAACGAAAAATGTGTTCAGGTATGTGGCATTTCACTATCATATATATACATACACCATATTCCGAACTCTAGGTTCTGTCTGGTTGAAATGAAGTCGTATTTCAGCAATAAAAAATCGATTGTGTTTATATGAACTATAAAAAATTATAGTATTCATTGCTGCATATTATTCTAAGCGACTTACACTTTCTATCAATCCGTTTTTTTAATTGCAGTCAGTTATGCGTCGACTTGTAAGAAGATATATACATCAATCGAAGAAAACAATGAGACAAGATGGAGTGAATGAAGATGATCTACTAGAAATCAAACAGGATATATCAAGTTTGAGGTAACATAAAAATAAATTATTAATCACTATGATACTAGTAGTAACTTATTTGTAAGCGCTACGCACTTTTTATAACGTACATTCATTGGATTACCGAAGGAATCTAAAACTTCCCATATTCAAAAATATGTAGTTTGTATAGATTTAATTTTAAAATGATACATTTGGTCATTTTGAAGCTAAAGTTGCAAACGACCTGATAGCACCAATTCTGTGAGTTCAGTTTTTGAAATAGGCAACTTCATTTCAGTGTATTACAGAGATATATATATGTATTTACACGGTATACAATATAATAGTAGGTACCATTACTGAAATCAAGATTGATAATTTCAAATAAATTGAGCATCGGGTACAATGCCAATAACAAAATGATGATATATTTGTGATGACCTAATGAGTAGAAGTTTGGATTGTTGATAGAAAGTGACCTAGTGAAAGCTACTCCTTCACCGTACATACATCACCGTATTAAATCATCTCAACTTCAAATGTTACAGTGAAATAAAACAGAATATTAAATCAAATAAAAAAACAAAACAGGTCTGATTACGTCAATTGCGTATCATTTTCGGTCAAGGTGATCCTGTTTCTGATATCATTATGTATATTTATGCTACTGTATATTTTCAGTGAAGGGTTTTGTGGAGTTATGAAATTTTCATAGATTTTCTATAATAAACTGACTTTACTTAGATTACTGTAGAGAACCTAGTATGAGACTCTTAAGCAGTGCCCAACGACAATTCCTAATACTAGAATCGAACCTAGGATTTTCTATTTCATGTCAGTCAGTCAGATGCAACGTAGAACTTCGTACGTAAGTACATCAGTTCATGTCGCCATACCACATCAGCACAGAGATATAATTGTCAATTCAAATCCAATAGTAGAAGAGGTAGTAAAGGTATTAGAAGTAATCGGAGGGGTTAGAATTAGAAGATATTATTCACGAAGTATGATTTAGTGAGAATAGTTTAGGAAGTCAAAACTAAACGTGTTGAAGAATCCAGAAGATTAGGATTTGAGAGAACACAAAGAATAAATGCACCGGCGCCATTGCAAACGGTTTTGAGCCATGTCATTCAACGTCTCTAACCATCCATTATTATCATCTCGCGGACCCCAACTACCGACATGACTCAGTCCACTTGTCAATGACTTTATGGATTGCTGTCATTTTTTGTTCTGGCCGCCCCTCACTTTCTTCCAACCTACTCCTACACTACAAAACAAAGCTCGCCGAGGCAGTCGGTGGTTAGGCATACGCAGCACATGTCCCAACCACCTCAACTGATGAAACTTTATTACTTCGTCTATTGATCTACCATTCTTACCTAGCACCTGTTTCCCAGAAACAGCATTGCTCACTCGATTGTCCCAAAGTACACGAGAAACACTACGAAGACATCTATTATCGAAAACCAGTAATCTACGAATATTTTCTACTCTCACTGGCCATGTTTCACAGCAAGTTTAATGAAATTTTCATAAATACTGAAAGAATTTTATTTAAATTTGACAATAAATTTCTACACAGTGAATTACCATTCAATATTCAATCTAATTTATTCAAAGAAAAAAAAATACTATTTTAATTTTCTTTTTTAAAAACTATCATAAATTTACAGATTTGAAATACGTGAAGATAGAAAACGAGAAGTTGTACGTGCTGTTTGTCAATTAGAAAGTTTGAAACAAGAACTTGTCGATGAATTAAGTAAACAAAATTCAATATTACAACATGTCATCTCACCTTATGCTACTACTACTACTCCTACTACGACTACAACGACGACGACTTTTACTGTTAATAGTAGTGGTGCTTCTACTTCCAATTGTGAAATATCATCATCTCAACACGAATTGACGACCATTCCACAAACACAACCGAAATTGGAATTAATCAATGATAAAAAGAAATATTCATTACAATGTTATCATCATTCAACTAGTAATCATCCTACTAATCAACTCTATTATTCAATGGATTCAAAAATAAAAGATTATAAAAAGAAATATTCATTAAATTATGATAAAGATATAAATCATTTGACAAAAATCAATGATGCATTGATTGATTTTACATGGTTATCCGATAAGCATAATAAAGCGAATATTGGTCAAGGTTTATATATTGATGATTGGTATCAACTTAAAAATGAAATAAAAAGTGGACTAAGAGAAGAACTTATTTCATTAATTCAAAATAAATACTTATTAGTGAATAATGAACAATTTGGAAATGAATTAGACACTACTACTACTACTAATACTACTCATCATAGTAATGAGATCAGCGATCAAACGGTACCGACATCATCGAATTCATTTTTAAATGACAATAAATTGAATACTGTTCAATCGAAAATATATAATAAACATTCTGAAAAACCACTTCCAAGATTTATACAAAGTACACAATTAAACAATAACTTGAGAAGATATTCTAAACAGAATGATAATAATACTAATAGTGATAATAATAATAATAATGGCGAGAAAGTAGAATTATCACATTCAAAATATTCAACATCCAAATCACCAATATTATTATCATCATCTTCATCATCAACAACAGCAGTTCCACATGAGACCATGTCATCAACATTACTACCCTCATCATCGAGATCCCACGATCCATACCCTACACGTGGGACAAATGTTTCTACTCATTTAATCGCTACTAGTAGTAGTAGTAGTGGTGGTGGTCAAAGTACCAGTAGACTGCTGAGACAAGAAGAACATCATGTTGTGGATAAAGATGAAAGAAAAACAGCCAATATTCATGAAAGTGCTAATGTGCATTAGGATAATAACAATAATTATAATAATTATAATAATTTGAAAGTAATATATTTTCCATTGTAAATCAATGACAGTAACTGACATTACCCTCCTTGGTTTATATATATATATATATATATATATATATATATATATATATATATATATGTAATTTTTGAAGAAAAACTGTCATTATTATTTCCAATCATAATCATGATTGCTTGTAAACAGCACATTTAATTTTATGTTCAATTTTTTAAAAATTAAAAGAAATCAATCGATCTCTTGAAAGAGAAAACAAATGAGAATATTGATTACTTATAAGAAGAAAAAAATAAACTTCAATGAGAATTTTATTCAATCTTTTCTGTAAAATATTTCATGCAACAACTTTAAAACATTCAATTGTTCTTTTTAATTTCTGTTTTGTAATGAGGAAAATACATTTTAATTAAATAAATAAGAAAATATATATTTGCATTTTAAAGAGAATAGGTTGTAGTAGTACTACTAGTAGTTGTAATAATAGTAGTAGAGAATCTATTTTAACACTATCTCAAAAAATCATATGAAAATGTTCAAAATATAACATTCTATACATACATTGCACATAAATGAACTCAGTGTTTCATTTGAATTATTCATTGATACAACAATGATTATTTTTCTTTAGTAAACAACACAAAATTAACAAGTAAATAATGAGATTTGTCAAGTAATTTAAGAAACGATTATCGTTTTATTATTTAAAATTCTATTATTTTATACGAATTCATATATTGTATTAGTTGTTCACAAAAAGTTAATAAAAATAAATAATTAGTACATACATATCTTTCCAAAGTAATCGTAACTGATATAAGAAAAATATATATAAATAATCTGTAACTATTCCTTTTTTTTCCGGTCTTTCCACTGATAATTATTTTCAGTTGAAAAACTGCCATATTCAGACTTTTGTATTCTCATGTTAAATGGAATATACCTAATGGAACAGTGTTACTGTCATTGTTAGCTTCATCATGAACGAGAAGACATGTAGATAGTTGTCCAGTGTGATCAAATGACTAAGTATCATCAATTTACACGAAGTATTCTCGTGAATTAATTATTGTGCTTTAATAAAATCAGTTGATTATTGAATTCTAAAACTGTTCCGTGATTAATCTCTACATCTAGTTAGCAATATTTAATTTACCCTTATATCAACCTCAATATTTTTTTTGTTTATGACACTTAGTTGCAGTTATCCAGTGGGCCATCCTTAAATAAATTGTTAGTTTAAAGGTTTCAATTTTGAAGCATTGAACAGAAACACATGGAGTCACATCTTCAAATCACAAAAGGATTTTGTTGATAAATTTTCATGTCGGTATAGGGTTGTGTAGACGGTTTAGTTTCATTGAAATCATGAACCCATCAAGATTAGATCACTATTAGAAATCTGGAAGCACTGGATAGTTGATCCATGTTAGTATGAGACTAGTCAGCAGTGCGCATCAACGACACCACATCCCGGAATCGAATCCAGAACCTTTGATTTCGAGCACGAACGCCTAACCTCTTGACCATAGAGTTTTTCGTTCAAGCTATCCAGTCTTTCCTTCCTTCCATTGGTTGTATAACAAAAGTCAGTCAAAAACTTAGAATTAAAAATTCATTTATTTCTATATATCGCTATATTATTGTAGTTGTGTAGCGGAACAGTAATATTGTATGAGAATACATTTGATCCCAAGTTTCTAATGGTCTAGCACTGATCAGTTCATGACTTCAATGAAGTCGTCATATGCTGCTTCCACTAGCATTATACAGTACGCGGTAGGAAGAGTATAGAGGATTAAAGCTTCAAGCTTTAAAGACGTTATTTGTGGATCCAGCTGCGTACAGTGATTCCTTTTACGCCGAACAGACTAATCATGACTCTAAATGTATGCTCTGAATACTTCCAAATATTTATAGTTGCTTCTTAAGCACCATCAATAAACTCACTGCACATACCATGTTCTTGAATACACAGATAGACATCCCAGAGCTAGGAGAATAGATTTCATAATTCGTGAATTACAGGAAATTTTCAGTTTCCCGTTGAAATCGTGAAAATTCGATGACCAGCGCTTTTTGGATAGCAGTGTAGAAATAATAAGTACGAAGCGTGCTTGTTTATTCATTTTAATCGTCAATTATAACCTTCATCCAAAAGACATTATGCTGTCAAGTTGATCGTCATTGAGAAACTAAAACCTACAATTCCACATAGGTTAGAACATCGTATAAATTCTATCCCACGTCGTAAAAACTATCACCAACACAGTTTCCTTTCCAGGTATTTGAACAAGAAGTATTCCTTCACAGGATGTATACTTGGGAAATGACAATCCCTCACACGACTCTAGCTGCACTCAAAATCACTACAAATTACGTGTATGGACATATCTACACAGAACGTAATTAAGCCATTAAATTGGATGTGGTGAACCATGAACCGAAGTAGCTTCATAATTGCTTGTAGTGTGTACTAACGTTCGGCCTACGCGGCTCATCCTAGCTTTCAGGTAAACTAATCAATCTATTCTGTCTGGGTCACTATTCACGTATTTTGACATTGTTAAATATTCGCTAATAACCTTGGCTGTTTTGAATTGCGCGTGTATTGTTTACTCTGCTTTTTATATGTCTAGCTTGTTTTGATCTGACCATAAATAGTTAGTCATGCTCCATCAAACGGAGTTGGCCCAATCGTCTTCTCCGCTTTTATGCCTCTCATTCTTATGTCTGTCTGTATACGCATGTATGAAATCGAATCATCTAAATAAAAACGTAGTGGGCTTTTCATTACTACCGCCGCACAAACGAGGCTAGCCTAAATGTAATATACAGAAATAAGGTGGAAGCTGTATTTAATTAGCATATGTAATTGTTCACCTAAATTAGAGCCGAATCCTTGGTCATTAAAAATTAGCAACACAAGGTCGGATTAGAGAGCAAAGGGCTGACTACAACAACGTACCGCAATATCAATGCAATTATAACAGTTTATTATACTGACCTTAAAGCAACCTTTAATCGATTTATCAAAACAATTATGGGCGGATTCTTAGGTTAGTGGAAATCCTGAGTAATAGGCAATTTAGGTAACACTGAAATCATCAAAATAATGATTACATTTATAAGTAATACTCTTTACTAAATAAGATCAGAAACAAGTTAATCTTGAGTACCTACTGTAACCTGATGATGATGTTCAATAGCAAAGAAAGACAAGTATTCGTTCATCCGATAGAAATTTAATTATTAAATAAATCTAACGGTGTTTGAAAATATTACAGTGACTAAAATAACAAACAGTATTAGGTGGACAATTCACGGTATATACACAATAATTGGAATGTGGAAATATTAGTCTATGCTGAAATTCACCTTTTTATAAATACATACAATTAAAAGCTACTCCAAAATGATTGTAAAACTCCATTACAAAGTTGTAGTGTCTTCACAGTTTGATGTTGAACAAATTCTTTGATAATCTGTATTACTGCACAAAAATCATGCATATGTATCCAGGTAGATGTTTTAGCTTTTGTTGTACAATACTCTCTCCAAAGTAAAGGATTTTTTAAAGCAGTTTGAAATATTTCCAAATTCGTTTCAATCAAACTTCTAATTTCATAATCCATAGCATCATCAAGTACATCCAATGATGTGTACTGCATAGATTTACATTTTTCCAAAAATGTATTCACACTGTTATCATCATCAGAACTAGTTCGTGGCCACCGAGTTATTAAAATATACTTTAGCATTGAAAAGAATTCTTTGAAATTGATACCAGCGTATGCTCGAAGACAAGTCTTTATTTAGAAAATGAAAGCAGAGATTAACAAGACTTTTATATATTACTATGAAATGAAAACCACTCTTAAAGATAACAACGAAAAAAAAATGGTTCCCATTGAATGCTAGAATTAGTTAAAACTATCAAAAACCAAAGAGTATTGACATAGTTTAACTTAAATATCTTTTAGAGATTAAAATAACATAAACTAGTTAAATTCGTTAGCAAGAGGAAACAACGTATATGATGGTGTTTTTGTGGATTTAAGATTTTAACTGACAGATCATAATCACGTCTAGTTTCACCTCCTGATAAATTAATCATTTATAACTAACCAGAAAGTTGGGAGACTAGTATCTGAGACGAATGCTTGCAATGACATTGTGGTCTCTATAGGAAACCACGAAAAGAAAATGAATATCACTTAGTGACTCACTTTACAATGACACAAATTCATGAAGTACCTGACAACTGGATTGAGTCATGTTGGTAGGTGTAGACTACCTAGTTGAGATCCTCAAGACAATCGCAACCAGTGGTTAAAGACTTTGAATGACATGGCTCGAAATCGGTTGTAATGGCGCAGATGCATTCATTCTTTGTCTTCTCTCAAATTCTAATCTACTGAGTTCCTCATGAACACCTTTTTCTCCTTTTAGATTTATAATACTGAGCCAAACTTCTCGAATCATAGCTTCGACCCCTAATCCTCTCCATTACCGCTAATGTGGTATGTCGACTTGAACTGATGTATGTGCGTACGAAGTTCTACGCTGTAGCTGACTGAGTTTTATCATAACTTTTAGTTACCATCAATATTACCTTCTTTAAAGCAAAAAATGTCGTTTTCACCAATAAAGTCTATAATTCATTTAATTCTATATCATATTAAGTATTTTAGATTGCATCATTTATTTATTAGTTTTTCTTATTGAAAGTATCAGGTACCGTGTATCGGCTGTTTTTTAATCTATACAGTTTGATATCAAAAAGAAGTATTAGAATGGAGTTGTGGAAATTGCTGAATTTCATTGAAATAATGAAAACTATGCTGACAAATATCATATGCTCATTAGTGACTAGTTTCGTGAAGAAATTCTAGGAGTTCTAGTGAGAATCCATGACCAGTGAAGTTCAACTATATCAAGTGGGAGACAGTTACCTGCTGTAGACAACAGACGATGTTCAAGCGATATTTTAGATTTATTCAGGTTTGATATGAACACCAATCGATGTCAGCTGAGTGGTAAAGAGGTCCACAGTTCGTGCTTGAGACCGAGAGTCTTCGGTTCGGTTCCCAATTGTGGGTTTGTGGATGCGCACTATTGATGAGTCCCATACTAGGATGAATCGATGCATCTAGCTTTATTTGTTTAACTTTATCCACTCTGGTGTTGCAGCTTGTACATACAAATAACAATAATAGGCCTTAAAAACAGGTGTGACTTAGCCGAATACACGGTTGGGAGGTTTGCGCCCGAAAAGATGGATTAACTTAGAGTCAATATGGAACAATAAATTAATCAATTTTATCATTACAGTAAACTATTTTTTAAATGTTACGTTAATAAAAGATATTTACCTGACACTCTTCATGCCATCCAGCAATAGAAGCAACGTCTTTAGTTGATTCTTCAACAGCTTTCAATTGATCTTGTAAATGATCCCAAACATGACTTACATTTGTGGCATTAAACCAATTATGGTTTATAGAAATACAATCCGTCTATATATATGCATAAGTACGAAAGCTAACTAAGGTTAAACTAAAACAACCAATCGACTGTTACATTAGGAAGATTACAATAAAATGCAAAAAAAATAAACAGAGATGGAAACGTACTTTGATATAGCAACACACTTTCATCATTTACGAAAAGCAATGCTGCGGTTGAAGACAACTCAGAAAAAACCTAACCATATGCGTTACTTGTGTCAAAACAAATTACTAGTGATATATATCAGTAAATCCGATTAAACTTTATATTCGATTCAGAAGCTCATACTTCAAAAATACAGTCAAAGTACAGAAGACTACACAACAAAAACTTGGCTTTCTTCTACAAAAGTGTTATCACCAGACCAAAGCTGCTGCGGTGGTGCGATTCAACCCCTCGAAATGCGAAATGTTGCCTCTGAATTGGCTTGCATCGGCACCTGAACTATTGATAGGGAGTAAAATAGTCGAGCGTGTCGACCGTCTCACTTATCTTGCGAGTCTCATCAATCCTGATGGCCAGGTGTCTGACAAAATCTCTGCACAAGCACAGAAGGCTCAACTGGCTTTAGTCAACTTGTGCCAGTCGTAGCACAGACGAGATATCCATCTACTAACCAGAGGACGACTTTACGGTGCAGCGGTTCGCTCCATCCTACTATACGGGTGTGAAACATGGCCACTAACAGTAGACGATTTTCCTAGGTTACTGGTATTCAATTACAAGTGTCTTCGAAGCATTGCTCGTATAACTTGGAACAATCGGGTAAACAATGTTGGGGTTAGAAAAAGGGTATTAGATAAGGATAACCAATCAATTGATGAAGTAGTGAATCTTCGCCAGTTGATGTGGTTGAGGGATGTGCTACGTATGCCTAGCCACCGACTACTTCGAAGGTCTATGCTATCAAACGAAGGAGTAGGCTGGAAGGAAACTAGAGGCGGCCAAAACAAAACATGCCATAAATCCATGAAGTCACTGACAACCGGACTCAGCCATGTTAGTAGATGTAGACCTCCAGGTTGGGGTCTGCGAGACAATATTGACCAGTGGTTAAAGACTTTGAATGACATGGCTCAAAACCACTTGCAATGGTGCAGGTGCAAACATTCTTTATCTTCTCGCAAATTCTGATCTTCGCAATTCCTCATCAACCTTTTTCTCTTTTTAGATTTGTAACACTAAGATGAGCTTCTCTAATCATATCTTCAACCCCAAATCTTTGCCGTTACTGCTGATACTACTACTATCTCTACTACTATGGGATTTGGATTGTCCATTCGATTTCTCTGTGTTAAGTGGTATGCCAACTTGAACTGCATTTTATGGGTTTCGGCAGATTGTGAAATTCGGTTGTTTCACTATTTTATCTTTGAATTGGATTTATAGTGTTAGTTCAGAAAACTTAGATTTCTATTCATTAATTTAGTCATCATAAAGAAAGCATGCGTCTATCAGGTAAATAATTAGTAAATATGAATTAATGAATTATAGACTCTTCATTCTTACCATATTTACAACCTGATGAAACCATCCAGAAGGTACGAAAACTACTTGCCCAGAATATTGGTCTATCATATAATATTTCACATCGTTCCTGTCTTTAATAGCGGAGCGAATATCGAAAGGGATTTGTCCATTGGACAATAAGAGCTTTTTTTCTTCACCTTAAGGAGGGTAAAGGTAAAATGTAAGAATTCATGCACAGCTGTACATAAAATCAGATCATAACCACAAAACTCAAAATATAATTGAATAGAAGGGGCAAACTCAAACAAAATACAAAGAAAATATGATTAAAAATTAAATTAGGAGTTGTTTTCACAACAGACTGTCACATGTCTACGAACATAAATTTCTTTATTAATGATTCTCATCCTCAGTGATTTCACTATTTCAAACTAAAGTTCGTTCTAAATAGTTCAAAAGGATAACCGTTAGGTAATTATTTGACTTCAGTTCGTAAAATGACAGACATCTGAATTCACTGAAAAGCTCCTTTCTTACATAGAATGTTACAAAAATATTAACTATGAAACGTTAACAATTCCACATTTACTCTATTTATATATATATAACAATGAAAGAAAACAGTTGAAGATATTACTGCGAATACTATACTATTGAAACATTAAACAAATCACATAAAACCTCAGTAGAACCACGAAAATGCCCAGTACGCAGATGTGCTAATATTCATTTCGAAACCATTATTTGCATCATAATACAACAGACCATTAGTATGTCATGACCAAAACTTCATGAAATTCCTAATTGGTACATTATTTTAGTACGCAGAATAACGTTTTTTGTTAGACAAATAAAGTGCATTTAAATGGACCAACCAGGAGGAAAAATCCACCAACGTTTGTGGCCAAGTATGTTGGCAGACCAACTGAAAGAACGGTACACATCAGCGTGAAAAGGTGTCCACGTCCCATCACCCCCTAAATATACAAATTTGAAGTCATCGGAAAGATCATTTCGTAAACTCCAAAATTCGTTTAACCAATCAGAAGAAAAATATTCAGGCAACGTAAACCAATTGTTTTCTGAACTATGTTTAAAGTAATGCCAATCTTTCAAATATAGGATACGTTTATCTTTTCCTTGAGTTTTGTTAGTCCAATACGACATAAATTCTTTAACACTGACTTCACGAACTGGGTGTGTATTGAATTCGATCACAGAACAATCAGAGACACACAATTTCGTATCTGAAAATTATCACACTGATTATGCTCTACCTGAAAAATCTTCAAACAACTTTTTTAAGTCAATGAACCCATCAGAGGAACACCAAGAAAAACATGCTGACCAATTTTTAGTAATCCAAGAGTCGAAAATACATGGTTGGTTTTTCATAAGATAGCTAAACAAAACGTTAGTTTCATCAGGTAATACTACTTGAAATAGAAATCTGTGTAGTTGATATCTTCACTTAGACAAGTCAGCATCAAAGTAATCTTCTGTTAAATTCCCTAAAAATCAATAATAAGCACCTAATGTGGAAAGAATTAGTAATGTCACAAAGAGTAAGGTATAAGATTTATTTCATGAAAGCTTTATTTGCATAACACAATAAATGTAATACACGAAGAAAGATTATAAATTTTGACAGTAATAAAGTACTGAGAGAATAAGAAAATTTCAATTTTGCGAAAAAAAAGTTGAGATCTCAGTTCATATCACTTTTCAGTTCGTGGTATTTTAGAACTTGGTTCTGAAGAATCATCATCCTGATTGATAGGCGAATGTTCTCGAAGATCAGTAGAATAATGTCTTTTAACAAAGGTAGTTGGAAAAACCAACAAGATGCAAGTCACATTATCACCTGACATACGAAGAACAGCTTCACTAACCAAATGTGTGCATACTGAGTCCAGATGCCGTTGAGACAAAACCGCAGAAAAATCAGTAGACTACAATTTTTTAAAAGAATAAACAAACATTAGAATGTAACATTGTGAAGCTTTAAAATGCCAACTGTAAAAATGTAGACTTTGGATGTAGCTCAAACAGTTTTACTAGAATAATAGCTTAGCCATAAAGCCAATAGACTTCAGATCGCAACAGCATCTAATCAGGTTTAAGCGACCAGCTAATACCACTAACCCTCAAACAAACAATAACGCAAAGCTGAATGCACGGACCAGAACTTGACAAAAAGGCTGCAGTAAATTCAGTTGAGTCAAACTTTACCTAAATGACTGCCATCTTTACAGAAGTGTACAAATTATAGAAAAGTCATTTTTATTTCGTACTAAATTTTTGTATCAGTCATAAATAGTGTATACTTAGTTCTTAGAAAGCCTTGTAAATTAGTCAGTAACAACGTAGAACTTCGTTAGTACGTACATCAGATCAAGTAGCCATACCTTGTAAATTTTCATAAATCCAAGAATGACAACGAATACAAGTAAAATGTAAAGATGTAATTTTTCTGAACAATACTGATCAAAGTCTCTTTTAAGCGCTCTTCAAATCTATACCGTTACTGCTGATACAACTACCTCTACTACTATGGGATTTGGACTGTCCATTCGATTTCTCTGTGTTAACTGGTATGACAACTCAAACTGATGCACGTACGTACGAAATTCTATGTTGTAGCTAACTGACTGATTATCTCTCTCATTAATATTGTTTAGATTACCGTATATGTGTAAATATTCGGCTGTTAATCTTTCTTTGTATGAACAAAGACCTTTTAACTGGTGATCTTAAGTGATACAACTCAAAACCGACCGGCAATAATTGCATTCAACTTTCACCACATTTTACGTTATGAGCTTAGTGATTGATACTTTATACTTTTAATCTTAGAACTACTTTTTCTGTTTCCCAACAGCAATTGATTTAGGATCGAAATGATTAGTCTTTCTCTATCTAATTAGATGGGATATGTGATAACTTGAACTGATAAATGTTCGTGATAGCTTTGTGACTGATTGGCTGGAATTCACAACACTGAAAAATACAAACCGCTGAGCTTAAAAATAAAAGGAAACTAATAAAGCAACGCCTAGCGCTATCGAAACTTAACAAATATTTTCAGGAGATTATAGACATCTTTAGGAGACAAAAATACTAGCTTCCAAAGTCAGAACTAAGTAATACGCAAACGATTACAATCAGGAATCAAAAGCGACTTTGACTCACTTGACCATTTTGGGATCCATGTTCATTTTTATAGTTTTCAATTTCTCGCATTAAAAGTTGATGAGTGAGATGTACGGCTTCATTTGGAGGAAAACTTTTCCATAACCCGTCACAAGCTATTAACAAAAATCTAAAGAATAAAAAAGTGGATGAGAGATATTGAAGATAAACTACTCACAACTAAGAAATAAAAAAGAGTTATATACTTAAAAGTTGTTCCTACGAATTTCTGCTATATTTATATAATATATCATCTTAATTCCTCAAAACGGCATAAATAACAGTGCAAAAGCTCAATGGTAAGAGTTTTCACATTTTTCCACAGAAAAAAGATTTTACACGAGCAGATAACTAAGTTTTAAAATTAAAAACGATAAGGCCAAAGATGTAAGAAGCGAAGTAGAAGAATGATCCGCAGAAAAAAATGTTGAACGAATAATAGCGTAACATTACAGACGTTGACGAAAAGAAATGTGCGTATATTGATTCTATAACTTTAATTTTCACCTTGGATTAATCACCAACCGACTGACTAACAAGTAACTTATAATCGTAATGCATTACTTGAATATTCTGTATGTAAGCAATAGATCGAATTCCTTAAAAATAAATATGCTGGTTGTCCGAGGGAAACACTTTACTGCTGTCGAACCCCTCTACAGTCAGCAGTACGACTTCGCCCTCAGACCTTGGAGTTGTTGCTTTTATTTTTACCGTTCTCCGATCGACCTGCCTGACATGGTAGAACCTACATATGTTCCAGCCAATATAGCTTGGTTGAGTCACCACGATAGACAAGCCCGACCGCCACGTGTCAAGGTAGCAGCTCAAATCCTTATCCAAAGGATTAGGACCAAGATAACCATTTCAGTGGTAGCAAAATTCACCGCAGGTTTCACTGTGTAAAACAAAGAAGCTTAATGTAGCTATAATGCTAAACAGAATTATAGGTTAATGTATCTCAAATTAATACCTCAATGGTCTGCTTTGATTTATAATAGAATGTGATTACGCTGTATGTATGATCTTAAAAAATACCTTATGTATCGAGTCATATCGTTTCATAGGCTTTAATAAGTTACGTCCCACTTTTTCTTGTTGGCAATGAAACAATATTTGCCTTCTCGAATATGTGCCAAAAGATTTTACACTATGAAGTGCAACGGCTCTAAACGGTGCAGTAACTCTGCATTTAACTAATGCCGATAATATCAATGACATTTCTCAATCTTTCAAAATTTTCAACAAACAAAATAACGCAGATTCTCTTATGACAAATTTTATGACTTTACGATAAAATATAAATGAAGTTAACAATTCTTAAGTGGTATCTTCTATTATGCGCTGGTGTTTGAAAGAAAATAAATCTGATATCAAATCTTACGACCTGTTTCATTCACCCTTACTTACTTCAAACTTCATATGATTAAGGATATTTAACTTACTGGTCATTATCCGTTAGCTGACATTTTTTCACATCCGGGATACAAGTAACACCTTGTTTCTTAAATTGGTAGTCTCCAAATGATCGACTAACTTCTAAGATGCTATTAACACGACCATTTTGAACAGAAGCCCCGGTAGCTTGAATACGTTGTCGTTCCTCATAGTCCATAGGGTTGTGGTCTTTCGTTAGACAGATTGCACTCAATTTGGAGTCAGTCAAAATCTTGTCACCATTGACATTAAGGTTATTAGATTCAGACGGGGATTCAATGGATCTGGCTAGGACAACCTAATAAAAGCAAAATAAACTGAATGAAACGACTATCGAAAAGAGAATATAACATCAATAAAAATATATCTATATTGCTTACGCATGACATTCAATCTAACCGGGAAGTCAAAACGCTTGCTAAGAACCTAACTTGACTTAGCAATTATCAATCGAACCTGATAATGGAGTTCAGGTATAGGTTAATTACAATAATAGCACACTTTTAACACATTATACTTAGGGTAGGACGAGTATATTAGAGCAACAGTAATTTGAAATGCACATTCAGACATCAACAAATACTACTTTCTAAGGACTATGACAATTAAACTACCACATGTCGAAAAGGCTACAAAATTAGGATATCTCTGTAACCAAGTATAGCTTGAAAATAATAAGTTGGGCCCCACATTAATGAGAATAGTATAACTAATCTGTTCTGCGAACTCACATAAGAATTTTGCTTACACTTCTAATCTGACGTGTCCATCAGTCAAAGATCAGGTACTAAGTTTGTGAATTACACAGGCAATAAAAAAGGGAAAATTAGTCTTTCGCAAAAGGGCTTTCTCTACAAAAAGCAACGGTAGTAAGCAACTCATATTCATATAGTTTGTGACTTTGGAAAATAACGTAATCAACGTAAAAAGAGTAAAAATTATTAGTATGTAGATCCAAGGCTTACATCAGTAATTTGCCCTTGTGAATGGTAACCATATTCAATCACTACACATCATAACTAAAAGTTCCCTAACTATCATTACAACTACAGCTCCTTAATCGCCAAAAGACTTGTAATACAGAGTAAAGACAGAAACAACTACATTACAATATACTGAATAGACTACTTGATTAGTTTTATTGACACGTTAAAACTAAGATAAATAATTTACGACAATTTACAAAAACAACGAAATTCCAACCAATAAACACCGTAGAAAGATACCTGCATCAAATTTATGCATCGGATAAATGTTTAATGGTATAATCCCTAAAAGTAGTGTTATAAAATTAAAAACGCAATTTATTCGGAACGCACATCAGAAGGAAAATAAGACATCTAAATTTGAATATTACCATATTATTACTATTATTATCAATCAGCATATTTAGTGGAATGAATTTATAAGCTGAGAAATGTGGAGCCTAAAACCACATAACTAACAAATATATGAATAAACACTAACATTCCAACTTGAAATTCTTTGAATATTGCTGAAAAAAGCTAATCTGTTCATAAATCAATGGTATCATTGAGTAAACTGAATCTTTTGGAAAAACCTCTATAATCCAATAGTTATTAATGCAAACAAATTCCGTTTTATACGTAGTGGGAAGTAATTATTTACTTCGGTGTAACGTTGGACGAAGTCAAGTGGGGTGAAAAAGAAATGAGATCAGAAACGTGTACCAGATCGTAAAATAACTGGCTGTTGACCAAAGTTCTTCACATAGGTTTAAACTATCTTGACGTTGTCCGTAGGATACTGCAGATCGTTTCATGAATACATAGATGATCAGTGTGCATAAAAGGAACATAAATATAAATAAACTACAACGCCCGATCTTATATATATATATATATATATATATATATATATATATATATATCACAGAAAACAAATTGTAAAAATACGGTTTTACAACTAAGTATCAAACATGATGTTAAAGCGAAATAAGCATGGATTACTTTTGAGTCACCAAGATTTGCAATGTATAATGTGTTATTGACCAATAAGATTGTTGCTGCTGTACTACCATCTCTCCAGTGAGGGCGCCTGGAAAAATAGAAAGGGGCGCAAAAAAGGTGAATGAAACGTAATGGTTGGTTTCCTACTGCTGACAAGCCTCTCTCAAAAATTCCTCATCTGTTTTCTTATAAGAGTCGTATAATACACGCTTAATATCCTTTTCTACCTGTTGCATCCCACCTGTTCAAGAAGAAAAAAGAATAATGATGAATTTGACTGAAATTTACAAGCAGAGTAAAGAAAAATATGAAGCCATAAATATAATGATAATCAGTATAGGCGGCCCAAATGGATTTTACAGGGACAATGTGGTGGATGCGAATCACCCAAGTAGTACACAGAGGAGTGTCGCTCAGAAGTTGCTACCACAGAGAAGTATCCGAAGATCGAAATATACGGCGCGATCGGAGTATATTCAAGACCAAGGGAATTGTGAGAGAATACAGTCAATAAACTACTCGTGTAACCAGTGGATATCTAGAGATTGTGTACACATGTTGCGAAGAAACTATCTCCAGATTATGTATTCCATCTGGTCTTGTCTTCTGGCTTATCACATGACATTGTTTACGTAACCTAATCGATGCAGTCTGTTGAGTCGAGAAAATATTTAGAGTTAATAGTTTGGATCCAATCAACTCCGCCAGTAGAACCTTAGGGGCTACTGCCGGTCCCAAGCCCGGATAAAGGAGGGTTGGACATGGGGTTGGCGACCCCATTCCGTTGAAATCTCACTTGCCAAAAAAACGCTAACCAGAAAAAACAATTCAAACCATTTTAACTCTGCCCTGGGAGTTGGAAGAAGAATTATGACGTCTCGTGATGAAAGCCGAGTTCCCTCGGAAGTCACGGGGCCGATGCCTCTTCTGACAACCAGAGCAACCATTTTTTTAGGTACATGGAACGTTCGTACACTGTGGGAGACTGGAAGACTATTTCAAGTTGCGGCAGAAATGAAAAGATACAACCTCGAGGTGCTCGGCATCAGTGAAACGCATGGGACACAGGTAGGACAACTGAGACTTGCTTCAGGGGAACTGCTGTTATACTCTGGTCATGAAGAGGAAAACGCTTCACATACACAAGGAGTTGCACTGATGCTGTCCAAACATGCACAAAAGGCACTGATAGGATGGGAATCTCATGGACCTAGGATCATCAAAGCATCCTTCAAAACAAAGAAACAGGACATTACAATGAACGTCATCCAATGTTATGCACCTACCAATGACTACAATGACGACGTTAAAGATCAATTCTACGAAAGGCTGCAGTCAATCGTCGAGAAATGTTCACCAAAGGATTTAACGATTCTTATGGGAGACCTGAATGCCAAGGTTGGCATGGACAACACTGGATATGAAGACATCATGGGACGACATGGACTGGGAGAAAGAAACGAAAACGGTGAGAGATTTGCAAACCTATGTGCCTTCAACAAACTGGTCATCGGTGGCACAATATTCCCGCACAAACGCATTCACAAAGCCACATGGATTTCACCGGATCACACTACTCAAAACCAAATTGACCATATCTGTATCAACAAAAAGTTCAGAAGGACTATGGAGGATGTGAGAACCAAGAGAGGAGCTGATATAGCTTCAGATCACCATTTGCTGATCGCCAAAATGAGGCTGAAACTAAAGAAGCACTGGACAACGGGACAGACAACATCGCACAAGTTTAATACGGCCTTTCTTCGGGATACTGTAAAGCTCAACGAATTCAGGGTAGCCCTCACCAATAGGTTCCAGGCCTTTCAGGATCTACTCAATGGAGAGGACGCAACATTGGAGAACAATTGGAAAGGGATTAAGGAGGCAATCACTTCAACATGTCAGGAGGTCCTTAGTCGCAAGAAGCACCATCACAAGGAATGGATCTCTGTTGATACTCTTGCAAAAATTGAAGAAAGGAGGAACAAGAAGGCAGCAATCAATGTCAGCCGAACAAGAGCAGAGAAAGTTACCACACAAGCTGCATACACAGAAGCAAACAGGGAAGTGAAGAAGAGCATCAGAGCTGACAAACGAAAATATGTGGAAGATCTAGCAATGACGGCGGAAAAGGCTGCAAGAGAAGGAAACATGAGACAATTGTACGAAACAACGAAGAAGCTCACCGGGAACTATCGTAAACCAGAACGACCAGTAAAAAGCAAGGAAGGGAAAATAATCAGCAACACTGACGAACAGCGAAATAGGTGGGTGGAGCACTTTAAGGAACTATTGAATCGACCAGCTCCACTGAACCCACCCAACATCGAAGCAGCATCCAAGGACCTCCCAATTAATATTGGCGCACCTACGATTGAGGAGATCAGTATGGCCATCAGACAAATCAAGAGCGGCAAAGCAGCAGGACCAGACAACATTCCAGCAGAGGCAATGAAAGCAGATGTGGAAGCAACTGCGAAAATATTTCACATTCTCTTCAAGAAGATTTGGGATGAGGAACAAGTACCATCAGATTGGAAAGAAGGATACCTCATCAAAATACCAAAGAAAGGCGACCTGAGCAAGTGTGAGAACTACAGAGGCATCACTCTTCTTTCAATACCAGGCAAAGTCTTCAACAGAGTATTGTTAAACAGAATGAAGGACTTCGTAGACGCCCAACTTCGAGATCAACAGGCCGGATTTCGTAAGGATCGATCATGTACTGACCAAATCGCTACATTACGGATCATTGTGGAACAATCAATTGAATGGAACTCATCACTCTACATCAACTTCATCGACTACGAGAAAGCATTTGATAGCGTGGATAGGAAAACACTGTGGAGGCTTCTTCGACACTACGGGGTGCCTGAGAAAATAGTCAACATCATACGGAATTCTTATGATGGATTCAACTGCAAAATCGTGCACGGAGGTCAGCTGACAAACTCGTTTGAGGTGAAGACCGGTGTCAGGCAAGGTTGCTTACTCTCACCCTTTCTCTTTCTCCTGGTCATCGACTGGATTATGAAGATGTCAACATCTGGAGGGAAGCACGGTATCAACTGGACAGTTACGACGCAGCTGGATGATCTGGACTTCGCAGATGACCTGGCTCTTCTATCGCACACTCAACAACAAATGCAAGAGAAGACGACCAGTGTAGCAGCAGCCTCTGCAGCAGTAGGTCTCAACATACATAAAGGGAAAAAGAAATTCTCCGATGCAACACAACATGCACCAACCAAATCACGCTTGATGGAGATGCTTTCGAGGACGTTAACAACTTTACATATCTTGGCAGCATCATCGACGAGAAACGTGGATTGGATGCAGATGTGAGGGCGCGGATTGGCAAAGCGAGGGTTGCATTTCTACAGTTGAAAAATATCTGGAACTCCAAACAACTTTCAAACAAAACCAAAATCAGGATTTTCAATACAAATGTCAAGACAGTTCTACTGTATGGAGCCGAAACATGGAGAACTACCAAAGCCATCGTTCAGAAGATACAAGTGTTTATTAACAGATGTCTACGCAAAATACTTCGTATTCGTTGGCCAGACACCATCAGCAACAACGAACTGTGGGAGAGAACAAGTCAGATTCCAGTGGATGAGGAAATCAGGAAGAAGCGGTGGAAGTGGATAGGACACACACTACGAAAAGCACCTAACTGCGTCACGAGACAAGCCCTCACATGGAACCCTCAAGGCAAAAGGAATAGAGGAAGGCCAAGGAACACACTACGCCGAGAAATAGAGAAAGATATGAGAGAAATGAACAAACATTGGACAGAATTGGAGAAGGAAGCCCAGGACAGAGTTGGTTGGAGAAAACTGGTGAGCGGCCTATGCTCCATTGGGGGTAACAGGCTTAAGTAAGTAAGTAAGTAAGTAAGTTTGGATCCAATCACATAGAACTTTAAAAAGTACGTTCATTCACACTGTCATACTCAACAAAACACAAGAAATCTAAAATGAACCAATATTGAAATAAACAGACGATGATATAAAATAGACAGGCGGCTACAAGCGAATATTGCAGACCATTTCAAATTAAAAAGACGATGTTGTTAGGTTGGGTGGCAAATAAATATACAATGACATCATGGAGTATCTTTTATTTGCATGTTAAATAGAAGTAAAACATTAGCTAACCGCTACCGAGTACCAACACAGGAAACTGTATATCCGCAAAATGTTGCTTCAAGATTGGCTTGCGTTGGCACCTGAACTAGTGATAGGTAGTGAAATAGTTGAACGTGTCGACCACTCTGTGCTAATGTGATATGGAAACCTGAACCTATGTACGTGCGTACGAAGTTCTACCGTGTAACTAACTGACTGTATATCCATCTAAAAATATGTTACTCATTTATTTTCATTGATCAGGATTTTCAGGTAGGATATACCTCATAAAAGTTTGGATGAATTAGTCACTTTATTAATAAATTTATAAGGAATCTGAACAGGAATGCTTGTAGTGGACTTTCTTGACTGAAGTCAACTACTGTCGTCATCTCGAATACTCGGTTGGCAATCACCACTCGCACAACCTTGGGCTTTAATGGGTTTTTTTAGTTATAGGATTTCTTTGACATGCGATTAGTCAAACACTACTTAAAAAATCAGTTATATTGAGATCAGGAAAAATTGCCTGTGTAAGGCTCCGCAGGTTTTGCACCCCAGGAATATCACTTAGATTTCAAATAGGTACATGTACCTATATTTTGAAGACCATGTCAACTACAATGACTTGTTTCCAACTGCTGAAGGCCATTTGAACTATCCTACGGAGTGAACTATATGATATTTGATGCTATTGGTTTGACTATAGGCTACAGCAAGTAAAAATACATTTGAGGTCTCTATCAAGAGGAGCTCTTTAGCCAGAACTTCATAAAAACAAGTATTCAAATAACGGAAGCCACGATCTTGGAAATTTAGATAATACTTCAGTCGGACTCTTAGATTTTCATGTTGAAGGTAACCAGGACATATTCTAGCTTCTCAAAGGAGCGCATAAGCTTACTATTTTATCCAACAATACCGGATCCCACATTTTCCTTTGATTCTGAAAGCAAGCCTTGATCACTGGATATTCTGATGAATTTCCATTCCAAGAGAGCCATTATTACTACAAACCAGCCTTACCAAAAACAAAGGAGGATAGATTTATCATAACAGCATCCCACAACTTGGAAGACTTAAACCCCAGATGAAGAGTAAAGATGAGGTACCGCATTAAAAGAGTAACATTTCTACATTTCAGCTTTTGCATTCTTGGAATAATGAAAGATTCCATCGATGAAAACCGGTACTGTACCTATCAAAATCCTTAAAAATACCTTTTTTAGACTTTGACTGACATGAAAAATAAATTAGTGGCTAGATATCCTCAATGATAAATAAAATAAAACGGAAAATCACAAAACTAGGCACCTCGAGGAAATCGCGAGGCTATATGTTGATGTAAACGTTTGCAGGCGAAGTTGGCTGCTTTTGCTCCTCCATGTCCATCAAAAATTGCGAAATAGCATACTCTAGCTCTGAAAAATAAGACAAAATCAAATATGGTATGATTACATTTCATTGGAGACTCCCCGATACATTAGCTCTACTAGGTTTTCAACCACAATATGGGAATCCTGCATCTCCGGTCTCTCGCCTTTTCTTGCGACAACAGAACAAAGATATGGAGTAAGTTCTTGAAACGAATAAAGTTTTTTTTTAGAAATCAACATACTGACAAAAGATTCGGACTCATTCCAACTGGGGTCCCCTCCTAATACCTCAGATTTATCTTGTAAATTAGATATCCTATGACCAGGAAATGTGAGCTTACGTAGATCGGTACATTCCCCACTTGGCTCAGGGAGATCGTCAAAAAGACTCATCCGACTCACTCGCGAAACTATTCAAGGTTGAGATGTAGACTCAAAGTCCAATATCCAATATCTTTTTCACGAGCTAGTGTAAACCAATTGATCTTTTGCGCTCGATTCTTGTTCTTTCGGTACGGTTCCAGGTATCTGGTAATGCCTAATTGAATAGCAAGTTTCAAGACATGCATCAGGCACAGCTTGACCATGAGGAGATGATAATCCGTATGTGAGTACATGTTTATCAGGTCTCTTCTTAAAGCTGTCTACTAAGGGTGTTGTGGTCACCTCGGCTGAGAGAGAATTCCAAGTTGCAACGACACTTAATGAGATACAGTGCGCACATATCTGAATGTTCGGTCTTTGACGCGCAACTTTTCGAGGATCGCCTCGAAAGGAGTGGTGGTGATGCTTCGGTAAAATGCTCATGTTGCGATGGTTTTGTGTGTGTAATATCATCTCTGACTCTCCTGTGACTCAGAAAGAGTAATTCCAGGTGTTGAAGTCTATCTTCTTAAGTTTTATACTTCAACATCATCACCCATTTCGTTGCTCGTCTCTGCACACGATCCAAAAGATTTCTGTCTGGTTTAAGGACAGGGGGTGTGATGAGGTTGTGAAATGACCCATGCAAAACTGCCAATGTTGAGATTCAGAAACTAGCATGCAATCTACTTACCATTGTGCGAAACGTTTTATTCTTAAGCTAGTTTCTGAGCCAAGATAATATTGGATCTATGAAGCTCATTTCCGCAACTATCTCAATCAAGAGTAGATGGGGCACTGTGTCGAAGGCGTTTGCAAATTCAAAAAATATTACGTGTACCAATATTTTCCGATCCCAGCAGGATGTCCAACTGTCCCATCATATAAAGAGATTGGATGCGCACGACCAGCCTTTCCGAAACCCATGTTCAGCTTCATTGAGGATACTGTTCACATCCGGAAACTCACTCATTTGTTCGTTCACCAGCCCTTCTATCACCTTCTATAATATTAGTAGTATTACAACTGGCCTGTGACAGGCTGGACCCTTCCTTTCAGTGAATGCCTGAACAAGTCGTCATTCGGGGAGCTGAGGGCTTCTGCACACTGTTTCAAGACTATGGGGCAAATAAGGTCACATTCTAGTGACTTTCCTGAGCATAAGGATTTTAGTTTCCTCATTGCTAAGTCGGGAGTAAGTCAGAGATTCCGTTAGTCGTCAGTTGGCATGTGGATACCTAGTTTAACTGATCAGTGAAGTTGGTGTTGAAGATATCAGCCGTTTCTAGATAGGTGAGATTTTCTACATAGAGACATCTGACGGGACACAAAACCTGATTCGTAGGTTTTCTTTTCGTCATGAGCCTACAGAGATGCTTAGGGTTCGTCTGTAGTTTGCTAGTTAGCTTCATCTGGATGTGTCTCCAGTCGTTTCGAACTTTGGTATTGCATCTGTTTCTCAGTGCCAAGTAAGACCTAGAGTTGGAATCCTTCATTGAGACTTTCCACTTGTGCCAAGCTTTACTTTTCTCCTGTAGCAAGCGTTCACTGTCTCGCTTGACCAAAGTTCTTCGCTCTCCTGGTGTGTGGTCTTTCTGAAGTACATTGTCTAGAACAGCACTCCCACTGTTTGCAAGTGATCATTTGCTGTCAACCTCCATCATCCCCTTGACCATAGGATATGCGCGTGTAATTTGCCCTAGTGTAGCAAAGGTGGGGTTCATTCTTGTCCTGCCTAAGTGTGTTCGTTTATGACCATGTTAAACATGACCATGCCATAGTTACTATTTCCTATTGGTGTATGGACGTAAAGATTTTCGACCAGGAGCTGACCGTTTGTTGATTAATGATCCAAGTTTGAGGATTTTCTGTCCTTAGTCCACCTAGCGGCATGGCATACATGATCAATAAACCCAGAGCTTCTAGTAGCTGTGTCAAGTGGTCTTCGGAACCAACCAGTGGAAGACGTACTCTGTTTCCTGAGATTCGGAGATGGGGCTTTGAAATCTTCTTGAATTAGTGAAAACATTGTACACTTTCCTCGAAGTACATGATGCCGTACTCTTCTGGAGAGGTAAGAAGACAGCTAGTTGCTTATCCACATGTCTGTATTAACACTGGCAAACTTATTTAGTAGTCGTAGTTTTGGTATAAAATCAAAGTCAGAATTACATTTTCGAAATAAATAGCTAACATAAATCAACCAAAATGCATTTAACTGTTCAAGACAGCATATTACACCTCCCATTGGAAATTCCTTAGTATATAATAAACCGAACGTGTTTTGAAAAGTGACTATCGGACTTCAAATATAATCAGAAGATGAAAATGATACCACAACTCTACTTCCATTGTTTGCTAAGTAAGAATGCAATTACATGAATATATGTGCATCTACATTACAACACTAAAATTATTTCTGTTAACTTAAATCTAGAGCACTACAGAATAGACAGAAACAATATGTCAAATATTACATGCTTTTTTCATACTGCATGTTTATTAATCAATGAATAAATTTAGTTTTCCTAAAGCTATGCATACTTCAAATTCATTAGCATAATTAATTATATTCCCTTTTCTGTTTACATAAAAGATTTAGTACGAAAATATCGTGTTATTATGAATAATAATAATAATAATCATCTATCTATTGATTATCAATATCACACATAAATACAATAGATTTTTCTTTTAGTAACTTGATTCTTAATTACATGCCGATTATAGTTAGGATAAATCAATGACCCAAAACGTGATTGTAAGCTTACCTAAATGTAATTCATCCTTTATTGATATTTTATATAAACTTTCCCTAATTTTTTTCTCAAAACAGAAGGGGCAGATATCAATGATCCTTCAGCAAGAGCACTGGTTGAGGAAACACAAGCATTATACCAGACACTCAGAGATATTTCTCAGTCTATATTGAATGATGAAATGATACCATCTGAGGCATTAAGTGGTGCAGAAAATTGTCACCACCAGTCGAGATCCCGTTCACCATGTTATGCTTCGAATCCTAAGATGGTGACCGGCAGTTTCCGTAACTCTAGAGCAGGAGCATATGGTCGCACCGGATCACCGCCACCACCAATTAATAATACAAGTGCTTGTTACTGGGGTGATTCAGCACTATCTGCTGTTCAGGCTGCGATTCATAAACGTGGACTTCAGGTTAGTTTATTTGGTAGGATCTTTACTAGCTAGCTTCATAACGACAGTTTAAAAACATTTTCGTCATAATTGGCCAAAAATAATTTTCGTATATTCGAAACGTTAATACGAAGAGACTAGTACTAAAACGTTTAACTAATCAGTGAAATTAATTGTCTTTTGAATCTTTTCATAAAATTATAAAATGCACAAACTAATTAATACCTTACAATAATTTTAGGTTTCTGAATTAACGGCCAAGTTGAACAATACAAAAGATCAATGTGACTCAATGAAACATATGTTAGATGATAGTGAAAATGAAAGAAGAAACTTAGAACGTCAACTAATGAACATGCGTGCAGAACTAGACAATATGAGAAGAGAAAAAGAAGATATGGGAAGAGAAGTAAAACGAATCACAGCAAATATTCAAACTTTGGATAACGAAAGAGCTGATCTTGAAAGATCACGTTCAAATACTTCTGAAGAACTAAAAAGCTTACAGAGCGAACTAGAACGTGTTCAAAGCGCTTATAATGAATTGCGTAAAAGTAAAGACACATTAGAAGGAGAATTAACTTGTGTTCAACGTGATGCTGAAAGATATTTACGAGAGTCTGAACGTTGTCAACGTTGCATTGATACACTTGAAGAACGCTTATCAGCTGAGCGCGAAGAAGTAGCAAACTTACGAAGTGCTCTTCAAAAATCCAAATTAGAGGCTGAAATTAGAGCCAAAGAATTCGCAGATATTCAAGATGCCCTATCAAGAGCTGAAACACGGAAGGCAGAATATGAAGCTGAAATAGCACGATTACGATCAGATGAAGCAGCACTAGGTGAACATTTATCCAAATGTCAGGTATATTCTTTGTCTAAATGTTTTGGTTTACTTAATAATGATATCGATCATGACTCAACTCTTACAACATTTTGCTATAAAATGGATAAATATTTCAAACATTTAAATTTTGTGCATGATCTAAGGTTTCCTTGCAAAACGTTAATCTTTGATCGTTTTACTATAAAAAAGGTTAAACTAAAATCATATTTTTAAATAAATGAGAATGGCTGCATTTTTTGTGAAAAGCTTCAAATTGATTTAAAATAGTCAGAAATAATTCAAATAATAACAATGCTTAGACAAAGATCATCTTTATTTGAAGTGTAACATCTAACAGCATACGATTCAACTACTTCACGATTATCAAAAATCTCTCATTAAACTCACCACGGTTCTCTAATTAACCTGTGTAACATATGAACTATATTTATTTAATTTTGGTCACATACCATAATTGATGTAGGAAAAAATAAGACAATATTGTTTCCAAGTAATAATAACTATAATTGCTGTTATTTTTATTATTATTGTAACAAGAATTGACCACATCATCGATTAAAAGCGCCTCTCTGATTGCTAGTAAGTTTGTTCATTTCACGTACTCGTAAATGACAATAGCCCCAAAGACTACTTCTTATCCTGTTTGATTGAAACTGAACCATCAATTTACTTTATTAGAAACTATTTTCTGCTTACTTTCGTTTACTTATTTATATTTCTATGTACCTTGTTTTTAATAATCTTAATTACTAGTTTATACGCTCAGTTTTAAAAATGTTACTATTTAAATATCAACTTTTGTTTAGAAATTTTTCTTCTAATCATAACGAGTCTATTCCGGATAAAATTTTAATTGATAATTAGAGGAACTTCCTATCTGAATTTATAAATAATTTATAAACACTGCTTCAAAACTATAGTACTAGGTGGATTTCAATAATTTTATCATTCAAATTGTGAGAAGTTTATTCATTTTAATAGATTTCGACATTTTGTTAGCACATCTGAATTTAGTGAACTTATGTAAGTGAAATTCAAGACGCGCGTTTTGTCCTGCTTGGGGAACTTGTCAGCTGAATGTACCTGCATCTTTCTTAGAGTTATTGTTCACTCCAGGATTCTAACCTAGTACCGTTTGTTTCAAACAAAGACTAAGCAAATTTCAGTCAAATCATTAACAACGGGATAATCCCAACCATTTAAAATTGAATTAGATTTGATGAATAGATGATAAGATATATATCATTACTCATATATCAACGTGTGCTTCGTAGGTGTTTAGCCAATACAGATGAAATTTATGATGATGAATAGCTACAAGAGTTTAATGAATCATTCAACTTGTTTACGATTGAAGTAATCTATAATAGTATCAAGGTTTATACGGTGATTAATAAAGTTATTTACTAAATGTCATCCTCTAGCTCTTATTTTCATCAACTTACCATATAGCTGTGTTGTATAAGCAAGCTGTTTTTGGTAGGTCACCTTTTTGAGATTTTACAGATAAGGCTACCACATATAACTTGAAACTAGACTAAAAATATCTTTTCGTTAAAGTAAGCTCTTCTTTTAGTGTTCGACTGATAGTGTCTATTCACAAATTGTCTTGATCTTTTCGAATATTTTATTGTGATCACAGTGTTTTTCACCTTCATTCATTATTTTTGTGATGTAACTATAACCGCCTTAAGTTAAAATGGTATTTGAATTAAAAAATTAATTGAATTTGAACATATGCTGAGTTCCACGTACTTTGAAAATGTCCATTCGGTGCTAAAGACATAAATTTCGTAAATATGTGTACGAAGGTAGTCGAAAGACGGATCTACTACCGACCCTTTTTTGTTAATGAATCATTCTTAAAGATGTGGAAGTATGAATCAATTTTTAACATGTAAATTAAACTTAGAATCATCCGGAGCAGTTATTTTTTGTAAATCTTAGAGTAAACTAGAAGAGGTCTCTAACAAAAGGTCGATTCTTCAGAGCCAGTTGAAAAATCAGGAAGCCGAATACAACCAACTGGCATCTGATTATCGAAATGCTGATGGAGATCGTTCCAGCCTGAAAGAAGCACTTATTCAAATGGAATCACAAAAGAATGAAGTAATTTATGAGAAGAACAGCATTTCTCAATCTTTAACGATATCTGAAGCTGCCCGTGAAAGACTGGAAGAAGAAATCACCAGTTTGAACAGAGAAAAATTAGAAATTACGGAACAGGTAGGTTAGAAGATGTCTGTCTGTTTTATCTACTTACTTTAAATACCTTTCTTTATGTTTATATGGAAGTTGTCGTGAGATTTTTCATGATGTAACTGTGAAATACAGAGCTTCAGTAGCAGTAAAATTTGATTGAGGTATCTTTGGTTCAGTTTTTGTTAGGATATTCATCCAATGTCCTAAGAGAATTATTGGCCTATCCCTATTGGTTAATTCCTACTGGACAATTTTACGGTCGTCCTAGATATCATGTCACGTGCTCCAATGTTGTTTCTTATTGGTTGCCCTGATTATCAATGTCACTTCAAATACTGCTTCCTATTGGTCGTCGTAACTGACTAAAGGACGAGTGTACTGCGCAGTAGTTCGCTCGGTCTTACTTTATGACTATGAAACATGGCCAGTGAAATTAGAAGATATTCGTAGGTTACTTGTTTTCGATCATAGGTGTCTTCGAAGCATCGCTCTTTTAACCTGGAACACCCGAGTGAGCAACGCTGTTATTAGGAAACGGGTGCTAGGTAAGAATGGCAAATCAGTAGATGAAGTATCGAAACTTCATCAGTTGAGGTGGTTGGGACATGTAATGTGTATGCCTAACCACCGACTGCTTTGATGAGCTTTGTTTTTAAATGTAGGAGTAGGTTGGAAGAAAGTCAGGGGCGGCCAGACCAAAACATGGCATAAATCCATGAAATCATTGACAAGTGAACTGAGCCATGTCGGTAATTGTCGACTACCTGGTTGGGGTCCGCGAGATGATAATAATCGATGGTTGGATACCCTGAATGACATGGCTCAAAACCGTTCGCAATGGCGGCGGTGCATTTATTCTTTGTATTCTCTTAAATCCTAATCTTCTGGATTCCTCAACACTTCTAGTTTTGTCTTTCTAAACTTTTCTCACTGAATCATACTTCTTGAATAATATCTTCTAATCCTAACCTGTCTGATTACTTCTAATACCTTTACTACTACATGAAAGTCTTTCAAATAACTATAACCCGCCTCTCAGTAATAATTTACAGAAACTGAAAACTGGGATTTCAAACGTTTTTACGAAATAGAGTTGGATATTACCTATTGTTTCAGAAAATCCAAACACATACTTAACGTCATAATAAAAAAATTACTTGAAGTAATTGATGAGTATTCCCCATTCAGTTAGATAGGAATATTTTCTTAATTATATATCTAAACTATATTAAATGACTAAAAAACAGCTGTTAATATCTTCACTGTGTATTAATCTGAATAAGCTTTGTGGTTGTTGAAAGATATAAGTAACGTTAATCCTTATTTCGAAATGAAAAAGAATACAAAACTAATTTAATACAAAGTAGAATGAAGCGACGTTATCCAACAATACAAAAAAAATGACCCTTATGTTTAAAATATCATTCAATAACTTTTTGAAAACAAAAATTAGTAGGATTTCACTTGTACTAAACAACAATGGACAGTTAATATAGTTACTTTTAAGACGGATAATTTCCGAAAGTGTTTAAAAGTTGTTACCTGTACTTTTGTAGTTGAATGCTATTACAAGACAAAAAAATGGTCTCACCAATGAACTGATTCAAAAGAATAGAGATTATGAACGAATTCGTGATGTTGTTGGACGTTTGAATAGAGAAAAAGAAGATTTAACAAAAGAGAAAGGTGAACTTTCAGCAAAAATCACTGCACTTACTAGAGAATTAAATCAAACTTACGATTTACTTACAGCAAGTAAAAAAGAACATAAAAATTTAGACGCTGACTATTATGAAGCGAAACAACAGATAATGCAATTGGAAACTAAACGAGACTTATTAGAAAATGAATTACAAGAACAAAATTTAAAAAGAGAAAATTTATTAGGTAAGTTTTAATTTTCATGAATTGAACTGAGAAAATGAGTTCACATTTTCACTAACTCAATATTAACATCTTACATGGCTAGTTTAATTCCCGATCTGTCAATTTTGACATTGGTTTTAATCTAAGTGCAATACTTTATTAGTGTAAATGTTTGTACCGATTGTGTGCATTTTGTTCATCATGACACATGTGAACTTTCAACCCGGGCTGATAGAGTTATATTTTTTTCATTATTTCATGTGAACCTCGTATAGGTTTTTTACAGTAACGCTATGCATCTTTTTATTTATATAGTGTTTAATAATTAATCATCAAATGTGAGTAAAATAAGTCTATGAATGAATGTATTTGGTTTAATATTGATGTTTTTGACCGATTTATTTAAGGATCATGTTTTTGTCGAGTCAATAAATCTTAATTCACATCAATCTTTATGTTTTCATTTTGCGTCGTGATAATCACCATAGTCCTTTGTTTCTCCAAGTATTAACAGTATGACTGCGGACACAATGTACTCACCAACGTACATAAACGAGACAACTCCATCCGTATAAAACAGATTTTCATCATTACCATTAACTATCTCTGTATGCTGAGGTTCAAGCAGTACAGCTTTGAACAGTTCCGAAAAATTCCTTAATTGATTCATACAATAAATAAATGTTAATTTAATTTTTAATACATAGTTTACTGATAATTGTTAGTCGTTGGCAATTTGCATGATTTTGACACGATTTTTAGTGAAAATATTCAAATGATTTATTGTTCGTTCATACTAAAATAATCATACGATATGATAGCCCATAATACATTAAAAGTGTGTTACTTGTTGAAAATGATTTTGACAATAATAATAATAATATCTTGATAGGTAATTTGCACAAATTTACCTTACACTTTTTCCAGTAACGATTCAAATGTTTGATTTATTTTGTTTTTGCATATTGTTAGTTGAATTGAAACGTACTCAAGCAGACCTTCAACATGAAATTGAACGTGGACTTCAGGCTCGTGAACAAGCTTCACAGGCTTTACAGAAGCGTGAAGACGAATTGCAAGGAGCAATTAGGCTATCAAAAGAGGCAGCTGAAAAGGAAATATCCAGATTGAGAAATCAGTTAACTGAATGTAGACAATTATCAGATAAAGAGTTAAGAGATCTTACAATGAATCATAAAGAAGCTATTAAAAGTCTGATGAAACAGAGTGAACAAGATAAACAAGATTTTGATAATGAAGTAAGCTTTGTGATTGCATTTTGTGAAAAGTGTGCTTATTTGCTGTTAAACTGACACATGTTAAATAACACAAAGGTTCGGAACAAATTCACAATTATTTAAGAAGGAATTGTATACCGAAATCGAATCCTATCTATGTTACGCTCGTCTCTAGGTATGTTTAAACTATTACGAGTTCACCTTAGACGAATAACGAGAACAAACAATGAACCAGCGTCCAGGTAGGCTACTGCGATCCCTTGACCAAATTGAATCAACAAGAAGTCTTGATATAGTGTAGAAACTGTATTCTACAAACACCTAGCTAACACACAATGAATCTAAGCTCTCAAATTGCGTTTATTTATACTCTATAGAGACGTCCTTGAAACGGTCTCAAAAACAACACTAAAATGACACAGTAACCAATCACAGCCAAGGATTTTCTAGGTGGGAAATGTGATCTCAAGGTCAACTGATTGGTCCATGAAATAAATCCAAAATAAAGATATTTATCAAGCGAGTTCTGGGAATCTAAAATCCCCAACAACCTAATGATAATTTGTTATCATTCGACATGGAGTTGTTCTTGAAGTTTCAAACTACTCTAATAATAGGTTCACTACTAAACACCTACTATCGAGAAATCTAATAATATCAGAAGAATTACCAGTCAAATGGGTAACTTTATTCTGTGAAATAACTTACAGCACTTTGAAAATTAAAACAAAAAGACGGGACAATTAAGTCTATTTGTAAACCAGTCTAATGATAAGCACATAAACTTCTGACTTACAGTTTTATTTGTTAATTTAAGTACTGTAAGTCTATAGATAGAAGTTTATTGCGCCATGAATTTGATCATGTGTAAATTTTACTAAGGTTTCATTTACTTAATTTCTTAAACTTCTCACAACAGGTGACCATATTCATTCCGCTTGGACAGTTATTTTCACATGACAAATATTGAAGCTTTTTAAGTGATTTTATTTTATGGATGAGTGAACTATTGATCATTTATGTTTAAAGACAATAATTTGAAATACAGTGAAAAGAAACAATTTCGAAAAAAGCCGCTATTGAACACAAACATAAATTATTTAGCTAGTTAGTTTGACAATATTTGACCAATCAAAAAACTGGTGTAATATATTTACTAATATTTTGTAAATACTGGTATTACTGAGAATGTGATTCAGATTATGCAAGAAGAACAAAAAATTAATATCAAATTACTGTTAGCTTAAGAAACATTTAATGTATATGATGGCTGTTCATTAATTAAAGTTTAAAGTGCCAGAATTGAGGTTTAGGTCAAAACTAGTTGAAAAATCAGAGATTTGGTTTACCATGTATGTAATAGCGAATATCAACAACCTTCATTTTACGAACTTCTTTTGATAGGTCAGCACGTAACTAAATAATTTTTAACTGCCGAATTCCACATTTATTCATATCTAAATGTCTGTAACTCTGATTGGTTCATTCAAAATATTTTCCTATTCAGTGTATTTTCAACTACAGTTATGGAGGTTAGTGTTTTTACACATTTGAAATCACTAATCAATCATTGTTAGACCACCATTAGAAACCTGGAAGCACTGGGCGGCCGTCTCGTCCTGGTATGGGACTCATCGGCAGTGCGCATCCACGACTTGACGACTCCTGCACCTCGCAGGATTCGAACCCGGGACCTACAGTATTGTGCACGAACGCCTAACCATTGAACCACTGGGCCGGCATCTAACAGTGTTAATGTCTAACTCTGATTGATCTAGGAATTTGCGCGACTTCATTCATTTGTCTTCGATAGTTACTGCCTATGTATTGTCTTTAAAATAAAATTTCCTGAAGTTTTATGTGGGAAACCGTGACCAATGAAGTCATCCAAACTGAGGTTAATCAGATAATGATAATAATAATAATAAGTTCCATCAAACAACTAACACATGATTCAAGTTAAATTCCTAATCATTCATTTGGTGGTTGAATAATACTCATTGTCTTATGAAAGCCCTGATAATAAAACAGCTCTTTAGCCTTATCTAGTTCTCGAGCTGATCTCAGTCAGTGGAAAAAAAAGATTTTTAGATTAAATAAACCTCCTCAAACTACTTAAACTGAACTGCTTTCAAGTTACCACGATGATGATTAACAAGGTATTTTAACTTATTATTTTACTAGCACGAAGTAAGTTTTACACTTCAAAGAACTTAACTACTTTGATGTTTCACTTCTTGGTTATGTGATAGTACGTGATCTGAAAAAAACCTACAACTCTTTTATACACTAACAAAGCTAATGATTCACTTTGAATTCACATTTTTTTTTAAATAAGGCCTATTACAAACTTAAACCGTAAATTCATGCTTTCATGAAAGTGAAGTTTAAAGTTGTATATAGTAAATCAGTTCTTTCCTACTTACAGTGGTTGATTGCCAAGAAAATTCTAAATCTTTTTAAACATCAGAATCACTTGTCTTATTTAATCAGATTTGGAAGTCGAGTGATGAGAATTCTAATTACCAAACGAGAATTAAACTAGTGATCTCACTGTACCTTGATTAACAGAATTAGATTAGCTCCAAGGGCTATACAAAGAACAATATCGGCTATAATTCAGTAATCAATCAGTTTGTCTGAAGATATATTTGTGTGTTGAATAATCCTATTGCAAATTTATTAAATAAATTATATCATAATCTATATATGACTTGATATGCTTATTATTCCTGATTAGCGTTTTTGTAGTGAGTTAATTTTCTATGTGATGAAGTTTCTAACCCCATGCCCAATCCTCTTCCTTTATTCAAGCTAGTACTCGAGAGTGGCTCTGGGTGGAGTTTTTTATTCCTAAAATAATGTGAAATATATTTGAACTGTCATCTTTTAATTTACGCCTTTTAAACATATTTATTATCATAATTATTATCATAATTACAGCTCATGAAACTTCAACGAGAAAAAGATGAAATAACTTTAGCATATGAAGCAGACAAACAAAATTTATTGTCATTCAATGAACAAGAACGTGTTACCGTACATGAACGTTTAAATAAGTCTTTACAACAAATTCAAGGATTAGAATCAGAAATCGAGAGAATTAAACGTGAAGCATCAGCTCGTCATGAACGTGATGACATTGCCAAAGCTGAATTAACACGAGAACTGAAAGATTTTCGTCAACATTATGAAGAGACTTGGTAATTGATTGTGTTGTTGTTGTAAATTGTATTTATTTTATCAATATATTTAAATCCAAATAATTTACATAAAATAATCCAGTGGAAAAATGTATGATTCAATTATTTAGTTTTTTTTAGTTTGGTAAATTTCAAATGACCTACCGAATATTAGATAGTTAAAAAAATTTAATAAGAAAATAGTCTAATTTTTATAATTTAAGCCTGTAGTTATAAGATTACTTAAACGCATTATTTATCTGTTATTATTTACAGTGGTGATAAACGCCACTGAATAGAAATGCATACAAATAAATAATTAGAACAACACATATAAGTGGACAATATTGTTTTCGATTAGATCGTCATCAGGCTTTACTCTAATATACATGAATATTCATATGAAAATGTTAAACCAATCAAAGCAATTTGAGTGATAATCACAATGAAATGAAAAAGATTAGGTCACTACATCTAATAGGCAAAAGTACAAGTGAATAGTAGGAAGACAGATGTACTGATAGTAGTAAGAATATGATAAAATATGATAACTAAGTTTTATCAATAGTAGGTCAAAGGTGGATGAATAGACTTGGAATAATCATTAAAAACATCAAAACCATTACGTAATAAGCAAATGTGTAAAAATAAAAAATAAGATAAAAAATATAATGTCAATCGTTAGTTACGTCATATCCGGCCACGGAAGAGATAGGGGTGTCACGAATTTCTCCTGAACACATAAATTTGGGTTGAATGTACGAATTCCTACGGCTTCTGCTATGTGTAGGAGACGGGATGGAACTCCGTTGGGAAATGATTGAGATATACGATAGATCACCCGAAAAGTTGCCTGGTAGTACGCCCTATATAACTATCTCCACAGGAGCAGTTGAATTTGTAAATGCACATAGATTAGGCCAACTCAGGCAACTTGTCCTTCATTTGGATAGACTTCGTTGGTCGACTTGCAAAGGCCAGCGCAAGATTGGCTGCATTGAATGTTCTATTAATTGCTCTCATCAGTTATCATATTTTATAATTTTCTTACTACTATCAATACATCTGTTTTCCTATTATCCACTTGAACTTTTGCCTATTAGATGTAGTGACCTAATCTTTTTCATTTCATTGTGATTATCACTCAAATTGCTTTGATTGGTTTAACATTTTCATATGAATATTCATGTATATTAGAGTAAAGCCTGATGACGATCTAATCGAAAACAATATTGTTCACTTATATGTGGGAATCTTTAATATTCTTAAATAAATAATTATCTTTTTATCTTACAAATCGAAACATTTTTTAATTTATTTCTACACTTATTATAAAGTATATATTTTGGATTACTAGAGTCATTTTAGCTTATAAATAACATGTTCTAGAAATAACGGGATTACATAAATACTACATATGATAATCTTGTAGTACAATAAATAAGTTTAGATTATGCTAACAATCATTGCTTGAAAATTTCCTACTAGCAGCTAGAATACTGATTTTTATTGTATTTTTTTAAAACTTTTAAAAATGCTAATTCATCATAGAGCAGAATATTACGGAAGTTTGAAATAATATATGCTTAATCACTGTCTTTATTAATCATACACGAGATTATTAACTACTATAATAAATGAAATTTATTCAAAGTATTCTTATCATTTTATAGTGCACTACATGAACAGGCATTGAAGAACATTCAATCAAAGCTGCCCTATTAACTGCTGAAAGAGATATAGCAAGAAATGAAGTGAATGAATTAAAAATGCAAATAAATATAATTGAAGAAGTACGTGATGGACTACAGAAAAATGTTGCAGAAATATCTCGTCGGTTAAAAGAAACAGACGAAGCTAGAGAAACATTAAAGAAAGAAATTATTGATTTACGTAGAACTCTAGCTGAAACACAACGTGACCGTGATAGTAAGGAAGAAGCTAAAGAAAATCTCGTCAGGCGGGTTCAGTCTTTGGAAACGGAACGTGTTGAGCAAAATAGAGTTTTGACTGACCAACAACAACAAATCAATGGTAATTAATCTTGATCTGGTAAAAAGTTGTTGTTTTATTTGGATATAATTATTCTTTTCAAAATATCTGAATCAGGGTGGTTCAGCTTACCATGCCTTTTTTTCTTCTTGATAGCTGTTGATGTAAGGTAAAGGTTGAATACCATCTGGGATCGCATTATTCATGCCTGAATTACCATATTGGTTCTTCAGTGATTCACCCACAAGATTTATTTGATAATGAGGAATTAGTTACATATATCTCAAAGTCATTCATCTTAATCCAGATTTAGTTGAATAGAGTGGAATAGAAAGAGTGCTAAACTGAACTAAATTAATTTGGAAATTAGTGTAGGATTTAATTTGTCCTACAGATGTAATTCCAGAACGGTAAACGCAATATTGGCGAGCACAGAATCTATGGGAAAGCTACAGTTAGAAGAAGATCAACTTTGCTTTAAACTTTATAAAGTTTAAAGCAAAGTTGATCTTCTTCTAACTGTAGCTTTCCCATAGATTCTGTGCTCGCCAATATTGCGTTTACCGTTCTGGAATTACATCTGTAGGACAAATTAAATCCTACACTAATTTCCAAATTAATTTAGTTCAGTTTAGCACTCTTTCTATTCCACTCTATTCAACTAAATCTGGATTAAGATGAATGACTTTGAGATATATGTAACTAATTCCTCATTATCAAATAAATCTTGTGGGTGAATCACTGAAGAACCAATATGGTAATTCAGGCATGAATAATGCGATCCCAGATGGTATTCAACCTTTACCTTACATCAACAGCTATCAAGAAGAAAAAAAGGCATGGTAAGCTGAACCACCCTGATTCAGATATTTTGAAAAGAATAATTATATCCAAATAAAACAACAACTTTTTACCAGATCAAGATTAATTACCATTGATTTGTTGTTGTTGGTCAGTCAAAACTCTATTTTGCTCAACACGTTCCGTTTCCAAAGACTGAACCCGCCTGACGAGATTTTCTTTAGCTTCTTCCTTACTATCACGGTCACGTTGTGTTTCAGCTAGAGTTCTACGTAAATCAATAATTTCTTTCTTTAATGTTTCTCTAGCTTCGTCTGTTTCTTTTAACCGACGAGATATTTCTGCAACATTTTTCTGTAGTCCATCACGTACTTCTTCAATTATATTTATTTGCATTTTTAATTCATTCACTTCATTTCTTGCTATATCTCTTTCAGCAGTTAATTGGGCAGCTTTTGATTGAATGTTCTTCAATGCCTGTTCATGTAGTGCACTATAAAATGATAAGAATACTTTGAATAAATTTCATTTATTATAGTAGTTAATAATCTCGTGTATGATTAATAAAGACAGTGATTAAGCATATATTATTTCAAACTTCCGTAATATTCTGCTCTATGATGAATTAGCATTTTTAAAAGTTTTAAAAAAATACAATAAAATCAGTATTCTAGCTGCTAGTTAGGAAATTTTCAAGCAATGATTGTTAGCATAATCTAAACTTATTTATTGTACTACAAGATTATCATATGTAGTATTTATGTAATCCCGTTATTTCTAGAACATGTTATTTATAAGCTAAAATGACTCTAGTAATCCAAAATATATACTTTATAATAAGTGTAGAAATAAATTAAAAAATGTTTCGATTTGTAAGATAAAAGATAATTATTTATTTAAGAATATTAAAGATTCCCACATATAAGTGAACAATATTGTTTTCGATTAGATCGTCATCAGGCTTTACTCTAATATACATGAATATTCATATGAAAATGTTAAACCAATCAAAGCAATTTGAGTGATAATCACAATGAAATGAAAAAGATTAGGTCACTACATCTAATAGGCAAAAGTTCAAGTGGATAATAGGAAAACAGATGTATTGATAGTAGTAAGAAAATTATAAAATATGATAACTGATGAGAGCAATTAATAGAACATTCAATGCAGCCAAACTTGCGTTGACCTTCTCAAGTCGACCAGCGATGCCTATCCAAACGAAGGATAAGTTACCTGAGTTGGCCTCCTCTATGTGCATTTACAAATTCAACTGCTCCCGTGGAGATAGATATATCGGGCGTGCTGCCAGGCAACTTTTCGGGTGATCTATCGTATATCTCAATCATTTCCCAACGGAGTTCCATCCCGTCTCCTACACATAGCAGAAGCCGTAGGAATTCGTACATTCAACCCAAATTTATGTGTTCAGGAGAAATTCGTGACACCCCTATCTCTTCCGTGGCCGGATATGACGTAACTAACGATTGACATTATATTTTTTATCTTATTTTTTATTTTTACACATTTGCTTATTACGTAATGGTTTTGATGTTTTTAATGATTATTCCAAGTCTATTCATCCACCTTTGACCTACTATTGATAAAACTTAGTTATCATATTTTATCATATTCTTACTACTATCAGTACATCTGTCTTCCTACTATTCACTTGTACTTTTGCCTATTAGATGTAGTGACCTAATCTTTTTCATTTCATTGTGATTATCACTCAAATTGCTTTGATTGGTTTAACATTTTCATATGAATATTCATGTATATTAGAGTAAAGCCTGATGACGATCTAATCGAAAACAATATTGTCCACTTATATGTGTTGTTCTAATTATTTATTTGTATGCATTTCTATTCAGTGGCGTTTATCACCACTGTAAATAATAACAGATAAATAATGCGTTTAAGTAATCTTATAACTACAGGCTTAAATTATAAAAATTAGACTATTTTCTTATTAAATTTTTTTAACTATCTAATATTCGGTAGGTCATTTGAAATTTACCAAACTAAAAAAAACTAAATATTTGAATCATACCATTTTTTCACTGGATTATTTTATGTAAATTATTTGGATTTAAATATATTGATAAAATAAATACAATTTACAACAACAACACAATCAATTACCAAGTCTCTTCATAATGTTGACGAAAATCTTTCAGTTCGCGTGTTCTTTGGCAATGTCATCACGTTCATGACGAGCTGATGCTTCACGTTTAATTCTCTCGATTTCTGATTCTAATCCTTGAATTTGTTGTAAAGACTTATTTAAACGTTCATGTACGGTAACACGTTCTTGTTCCTTGAATGACAATGAATTTTGTTTGTCTGCTTCATATGCTAAAGTTATGTCCATCTTTTTCTCGTTGAAGTTTCATGAGCTGTAATTAGGATAATAATTATGATAATAATTATGTTTAAAAGGCGTAAATTAAAAGATGACAGTTCAGATATATTTCACATTATTTTCGGAATAAAAAACTCCACCCAGAGCCACTCTCGAGTACTAGCTTTGAATAAAGGAAGAGGGTTGGGCATGGGGTTAGAAACTTCATCACATAGAAATTTAACTCACTACAAAACGCCTAATCAGGAATAAAAAGCATCTCAAGTCCTATATAGAATATGATATAATTTATTTTTTTTTTTTTTTTTTTTTTTTTTTTTTTTTTTAATATATCTTCAGACAAACTGATTGATTACTGAATTATAGCCGATATTGTTCTTTGTATAGCCCTTGGAGCTAATCTAATTCTGTTAATCAAGGTACAGTGAGATCACTAGTTTAATTCTCGTTTGGTAATTAGAATTCTCATCACTCGACTTCCAAATCTGATATAAATAAGACATAGTGATTCTGATGTTTAAAAAGAATTTAGACTTTTCTTGGCAATCAACCACTGTAAGTAGGAAAGAACTGATTTACTATATACAACTTTAAACTTCACTTTCATGAAAGCATGAATTTACGGTTTAAGTTTGTAATAGGCCTTATTTAAAAAAAAATGTGAATTCAAAGTGAATCATTAGCTTTGTTAGTGTATAAAAGAGTTGTGTAGGTTTTTTTCAGATCACGTACTATCACATAACCAAGAAGTGAAACATCAAAGTAGTTAAGTTCTTTGAAGTGTAAAACTTACTTCGTGCTAGTAAAATAATATTTTTTTTTTTTTTTTTTTTCATCATCGTGGTAACTTGAAAGCAGTTCAGTTTAAGTAGTTTGAGGAGGTTTATTTAATCTAAAAATCTTTTTTTTCCACTGACTGAGATCAGCTCGAGAACTAGATAAGGCTAAAGAGCTGTTTTATTATCAGGGCTTTCATAAGACAATGAGTATTATTCAACCACCAAATGAATGATTAGGAATTTAACTTGAATCATGTGTTAGTTGTTTGATGGAACTTATTATTATTATTATCATTATCTGATTAACCTCAGTTTGGATGACTTCATTGGTCACGGTTTCCCACATAAAACTTCAGGAAATTTTATTTTAAAGACAATACATAGGCAGTAACTATCGAAGACAAATGAATGAAGTCGCGCAAATTCCTAGATCAATCAGAGTTAGACATTAACACTGTTAGATGCCGGCCCAGTGGTTCAATGGTTAGGCGTTCGTGCACAATACTGTAGGTCCCGGGTTCGAATCCTGCGAGGTGCAGGAGTCGTCAAGTCGTGGATGCGCACTGCCGATGAGTCCCATACCAGGACGAGACGGCCGCCCAGTGCTTCCAGGTTTCTAATGGTGGTCTAACAATGATTGATTAGTGATTTCAAATGTGTAAAAACACTAACCTCCATAACTGTAGTTGAAAATACACTGAATAGGAAAATATTTTGAATGAACCAATCAGAGTTACAGACATTTAGATATGAATAAATGTGGAATTCGGCAGTTAAAAATTATTTAGTTACGTGCTGACCTATCAAAAGAAGTTCGTAAAATGAAGGTTGTTGATATTCGCTATTACATACATGGTAAACCAAATCTCTGATTTTTCAACTAGTTTTGACCTAAACCTCAATTCTGGCACTTTAAACTTTAATTAATGAACAGCCATCATATACATTAAATGTTTCTTAAGCTAACAGTAATTTGATATTAATTTTTTGTTCTTCTTGCATAATCTGAATCACATTCTCAGTAATACCAGTATTTACAAAATATTAGTAAATATATTACACCAGTTTTTTGATTGGTCAAATATTGTCAAACTAACTAGCTAAATAATTTATGTTTGTGTTCAATAGCGGCTTTTTTCGAAATTGTTTCTTTTCACTGTATTTCAAATTATTGTCTTTAAACATAAATGATCAATAGTTCACTCATCCATAAAATAAAATCACTTAAAAAGCTTCAATATTTGTCATGTGAAAATAACTGTCCAAGCGGAATGAATATGGTCACCTGTTGTGAGAAGTTTAAGAAATTAAGTAAATGAAACCTTAGTAAAATTTACACATGATCAAATTCATGGCGCAATAAACTTCTATCTATAGACTTACAGTACTTAAATTAACAAATAAAACTGTAAGTCAGAAGTTTATGTGCTTATCATTAGACTGGTTTACAAATAGACTTAATTGTCCCGTCTTTTTGTTTTAATTTTCAAAGTGCTGTAAGTTATTTCACAGAATAAAGTTACCCATTTGACTGGTAATTCTTCTGATATTATTAGATTTCTCGATAGTAGGTGTTTAGTAGTGAACCTATTATTAGAGTAGTTTGAAACTTCAAGAACAACTCCATGTCGAATGATAACAAATTATCATTAGGTTGTTGGGGATTTTAGATTCCCAGAACTCGCTTGATAAATATCTTTATTTTGGATTTATTTCATGGACCAATCAGTTGACCTTGAGATCACATTTCCCACCTAGAAAATCCTTGGCTGTGATTGGTTACTGTGTCATTTTAGTGTTGTTTTTGAGACCGTTTCAAGGACGTCTCTATAGAGTATAAATAAACGCAATTTGAGAGCTTAGATTCATTGTGTGTTAGCTAGGTGTTTGTAGAATACAGTTTCTACACTATATCAAGACTTCTTGTTGATTCAATTTGGTCAAGGGATCGCAGTAGCCTACCTGGACGCTGGTTCATTGTTTGTTCTCGTTATTCGTCTAAGGTGAACTCGTAATAGTTTAAACATACCTAGAGACGAGCGTAACATAGATAGGATTCGATTTCGGTATACAATTCCTTCTTAAATAATTGTGAATTTGTTCCGAACCTTTGTGTTATTTAACATGTGTCAGTTTAACAGCAAATAAGCACACTTTTCACAAAATGCAATCACAAAGCTTACTTCATTATCAAAATCTTGTTTATCTTGTTCACTCTGTTTCATCAGACTTTTAATAGCTTCTTTATGATTCATTGTAAGATCTCTTAACTCTTTATCTGATAATTGTCTACATTCAGTTAACTGATTTCTCAATCTGGATATTTCCTTTTCAGCTGCCTCTTTTGATAGCCTAATTGCTCCTTGCAATTCGTCTTCACGCTTCTGTAAAGCCTGTGAAGCTTGTTCACGAGCCTGAAGTCCACGTTCAATTTCATGTTGAAGGTCTGCTTGAGTACGTTTCAATTCAACTAACAATATGCAAAAACAAAATAAATCAAACATTTGAATCGTTACTGGAAAAAGTGTAAGGTAAATTTGTGCAAATTACCTATCAAGATATTATTATTATTATTGTCAAAATCATTTTCAACAAGTAACACACTTTTAATGTATTATGGGCTATCATATCGTATGATTATTTTAGTATGAACGAACAATAAATCATTTGAATATTTTCACTAAAAATCGTGTCAAAATCATGCAAATTGCCAACGACTAACAATTATCAGTAAACTATGTATTAAAAATTAAATTAACATTTATTTATTGTATGAATCAATTAAGGAATTTTTCGGAACTGTTCAAAGCTGTACTGCTTGAACCTCAGCATACAGAGATAGTTAATGGTAATGATGAAAATCTGTTTTATACGGATGGAGTTGTCTCGTTTATGTACGTTGGTGAGTACATTGTGTCCGCAGTCATACTGTTAATACTTGGAGAAACAAAGGACTATGGTGATTATCACGACGCAAAATGAAAACATAAAGATTGATGTGAATTAAGATTTATTGACTCGACAAAAACATGATCCTTAAATAAATCGGTCAAAAACATCAATATTAAACCAAATACATTCATTCATAAACTTATTTTACTCACATTTGATGATTAATTATTAAACACTATATAAATAAAAAGATTCATAGCGTTACTGTAAAAAACCTATACGAGGTTCACATGAAATAATGAAAAAAATATAACTCTATCAGCCCGGGTTGAAAGTTCACATGTGTCATGATGAACAAAATGCACACAATCGGTACAAACATTTACAACAATAAAGTATTGCACTTAGATTAAAACCAATGTCAAAATTGACAGATCGGGAATTAAACTAGCCATGTAAGATGTTAATATTGAGTTAGTGAAAATGTGAACTCATTTTCTCAGTTCAATTCATGAAAATTAAAACTTACCTAATAAATTTTCTCTTTTTAAATTTTGTTCTTGTAATTCATTTTCTAATAAGTCTCGTTTAGTTTCCAATTGCATTATCTGTTGTTTCGCTTCATAATAGTCAGCGTCTAATTTTTTATGTTCTTTTTTACTTGCTGTAAGTAAATCGTAAGTTTGATTTAATTCTCTAGTAAGTGCAGTGATTTTTGCTGAAAGTTCACCTTTCTCTTTGTTAAATCTTCTTTTCTCTATTCAAACGTCCAACAACATCACGAATTCGTTCATAATCTCTATTCTTTTGAATCAGTTCATTGGTGAGACCATTTTTTTGTCTTGTAATAGCATTCAACTACAAAAGTACAGTATACAACTTTTAAACACTTTCGGAAATTATCCGTCTTAAAAGTAACTATATTATCTGTCCATTGTTGTTTAGTACAAGTGAAGTCCTACTAATTTTTGTTTTCAAAAAGTTATTGAATGAGATTTTAAACATAAGGGTCATTTTTTTTGTATTGTTGGATAACGTCGCTTCATTCTACTTTGTATTAAATTAGTCTTGTATTCTTTTTCATTTCGAAATCAGGATTAACGTTACTTATATCTTTCAACAACCACAAAGCTTATTCAGATTAATACACAGTGAAGATATTAACAGCTGTTTTTTAGTCATTTAATATAGTTTAGATATATAATGAAGAAATATTCCTATCTAACTGAATGGGGAATACTCATCAATTACTTCAAGTAATTTTTTTATTATGACGTTAAGTATGTGTTTGGATTTTCTGAATCAATAGGTAATATCCATCTCTATTTCGTAAAAACGTTTGAAATCCCAGTTTTCAGTTTCTGTAAATTATTACTGAGAGGCGGGTTATAGTTATTTGAAAGACTTTCATGTAGTAGTAAAGGGTATTAGAAGTATTCAGACAGGTTAGGATTAGAAGATATTATTCAAGAAGTAATGATTCAGTGAGAAAAGTTTAGAAAGACAAAACTAGAAGTGTTGAGGAATCCAGAAGATTAGGATTTAGAGAATACAAAGAATAAATGCACCGCCGCCATTGCGAACGGTTTTGAGCCATGTCATTCAGGGTATCTAACCATCGATTATTATCATCTCGCGGACCCCAACCAGGTAGTCGACAATTACCGACATGGCTCAGTTCACTTGTCCAATGAATTCATGAGTTTATGCCATGTTTTGGTCTGGCCGCCCCTTACTTTCTTCCAACCTACTCCTACATTTAAAAACAAAGCTCATCAAAGCAGTCGTGGGTTAGGCATACCATTAACATGTCCCAACCACCTCAACTGATGATGTTTCGATACTTCATCTCTGATTTGCCATTCTTACCTAGCACCCGTTTCCTAATAACAGCGTTGCTCACTCGGGTGTCCAGGTTAAAAGAGCGATGCTTCGAAGACACCTATGATCGAAAACAAGTAACCTACGAATATCTTCTAATTTCACTGGCCATGTTTCATAGTCATAAAGGAAGACCGAGCGATCTACTGCGCAGTACACTCGTCCTTTAGTCAGTTACGACGACCAATAGGAAGCAGTATTTGAAGTGACATTGATAATCAGGACAACCAATAAGAAACAACATTGGAGCACGTGACATGATATCTAGGACGACCGTAAAATTGTCCAGTAGGAATTAACCAATAGGGATAGGCCAATAATTCTCTTAGGACATTGGATGAATATCCTAACAAAAACTGAACCAAAGATACCTCAATCAAATTTTACTGCTACTGAAGCTCTGTATTTCACAGTTACATCATGAAAAATCTCACGACAACTTCCATAAACATAAAGAAAGGTATTTAAAGTAAGTAGATAAAACAGACAGACATCTTCTAACCTACCTGTTCCGTAATTTCTAATTTTTCTCTGTTCAAACTGGTGATTTCTTCTTCCAGTCTTTCACGGGCAGCTTCAGATATCGTTAAAGATTGAGAAATGCTGTTCTTCTCATAAATTACTTCATTCTTTTGTGATTCCATTTGAATAAGTGCTTCTTTCAGGCTGGAACGATCTCCATCAGCATTTCGATAATCAGATGCCAGTTGGTTGTATTCGGCTTCCTGATTTTTCAACTGGCTCTGAAGAATCGACCTTTTGTTAGAGACCTCTTCTAGTTTACTCTAAGATTTACAAAAAATAACTGCTCCGGATGATTCTAAGTTTAATTTACATGTTAAAAATTGATTCATACTTCCACATCTTTAAGAATGATTCATTAACAAAAAAGGGTCGGTAGTAGATCCGTCTTTCGACTACCTTCGTACACATATTTACGAAATTTATGTCTTTAGCACCGAATGGACATTTTCAAAGTACGTGGAACTCAGCATATGTTCAAATTCAATTAATTTTTTAATTCAAATACCATTTTAACTTAAGGCGGTTATAGTTACATCACAAAAATAATGAATGAAGGTGAAAAACATGTGATCACAATAAAATATTCGAAAAGATCAAGACAATTTGTGAATAGACACTATCAGTCGAACACTAAAAGAAGAGCTTACTTTAACGAAAAGATATTTTTAGTCTAGTTTCAAGTTATATGTGGTAGCCTTATCTGTAAAATCTCAAAAAGGTGACCTACCAAAAACAGCTTGCTTATACAACACAGCTATATGGTAAGTTGATGAAAATAAGAGCTAGAGGAGGACATTTGGTACATAACTTTATTAATCACCGTATAAAACTTGATACTATATAGATTACTTCAATCGTAAACAAGTTGAATGATTCATTAAACTCTTGTAGCTATTCATCATCATAAATTCATCTGTATTGGCTAAACACCTACGAAGCACACGTTGATATATGAGTGATAATATATATCACATCATCTATCCACCAAATCTAATTCAATTTGAAATGGTTGGGATTATCCCGTTGTTAATGATTTGACTGAAATTTGCTTAGTCTTTGTTTGAAACAAACGGTACTAGGTTAGAATCCTGGAGTGAACAATAACTCTAAGAAAGATGCAGGTACATTCAGCTGACAAGTTCCCCAAGCAGGACAAAACGCGCGTCTTGAATTTCACTTACATAAGTTCACTAAATTCAGATGTGCTAACAAAATGTCGAAATCTATTAAAATGAATAAACTTCTCACAATTTGAATGATAAAATTATTGAAATCCACCTAGTACTATAGTTTTGAAGCAGTGTTTATAAATTATTTATAAATTCAGATAGGAAGTTCCTCTAATTATCAATTAAAATTTTATCCGGAATAGACTCGTTATGATTAGAAGAAAAATTTCTAAACAAAAGTTGATATTTAAATAGTAACATTTTTAAAACTGAGCGTATAAACTAGTAATTAAGATTATTAAAAACAAGGTACATAGAAATATAAATAAGTAAACGAAAGTAAGCAGAAAATAGTTTCTAATAAAGTAAATTGATGGTTCAGTTTCAATCAAACAGGATAAGAAGTAGTCTTTGGGGCTATTGTCATTTACGAGTACGTGAAATGAACAAACTTACTAGCAATCAGAGAGGCGCTTTTAATCGATGATGTGGTCAATTCTTGTTACAATAATAATAAAAATAACAGCAATTATAGTTATTATTACTTGGAAACAATATTGTCTTATTTTTTCCTACATCAATTATGGTATGTGACCAAAATTAAATAAATATAGTTCATATGTTACACAGGTTAATTAGAGAACCGTGGTGAGTTTAATGAGAGATTTTTGATAATCGTGAAGTAGTTGAATCGTATGCTGTTAGATGTTACACTTCAAATAAAGATGATCTTTGTCTAAGCATTGTTATTATTTGAATTATTTCTGACTATTTTAAATCAATTTGAAGCTTTTCACAAAAAATGCAGCCATTCTCATTTATTTAAAAATATGATTTTAGTTTAACCTTTTTTATAGTAAAACGATCAAAGATTAACGTTTTGCAAGGAAACCTTAGATCATGCACAAAATTTAAATGTTTGAAATATTTATCCATTTTATAGCAAAATGTTGTAAGAGTTGAGTCATGATCGATATCATTATTAAGTAAACCAAAACATTTAGACAAAGAATATACCTGACATTTGGATAAATGTTCACCTAGTGCTGCTTCATCTGATCGTAATCGTGCTATTTCAGCTTCATATTCTGCCTTCCGTGTTTCAGCTCTTGATAGGGCATCTTGAATATCTGCGAATTCTTTGGCTCTAATTTCAGCCTCTAATTTGGATTTTTGAAGAGCACTTCGTAAGTTTGCTACTTCTTCGCGCTCAGCTGATAAGCGTTCTTCAAGTGTATCAATGCAACGTTGACAACGTTCAGACTCTCGTAAATATCTTTCAGCATCACGTTGAACACAAGTTAATTCTCCTTCTAATGTGTCTTTACTTTTACGCAATTCATTATAAGCGCTTTGAACACGTTCTAGTTCGCTCTGTAAGCTTTTTAGTTCTTCAGAAGTATTTGAACGTGATCTTTCAAGATCAGCTCTTTCGTTATCCAAAGTTTGAATATTTGCTGTGATTCGTTTTACTTCTCTTCCCATATCTTCTTTTTCTCTTCTCATATTGTCTAGTTCTGCACGCATGTTCATTAGTTGACGTTCTAAGTTTCTTCTTTCATTTTCACTATCATCTAACATATGTTTCATTGAGTCACATTGATCTTTTGTATTGTTCAACTTGGCCGTTAATTCAGAAACCTAAAATTATTGTAAGGTATTAATTAGTTTGTGCATTTTATAATTTTATGAAAAGATTCAAAAGACAATTAATTTCACTGATTAGTTAAACGTTTTAGTACTAGTCTCTTCGTATTAACGTTTCGAATATACGAAAATTATTTTTGGCCAATTATGACGAAAATGTTTTTAAACTGTCGTTATGAAGCTAGCTAGTAAAGATCCTACCAAATAAACTAACCTGAAGTCCACGTTTATGAATCGCAGCCTGAACAGCAGATAGTGCTGAATCACCCCAGTAACAAGCACTTGTATTATTAATTGGTGGTGGCGGTGATCCGGTGCGACCATATGCTCCTGCTCTAGAGTTACGGAAACTGCCGGTCACCATCTTAGGATTCGAAGCATAACATGGTGAACGGGATCTCGACTGGTGGTGACAATTTTCTGCACCACTTAATGCCTCAGATGGTATCATTTCATCATTCAATATAGACTGAGAAATATCTCTGAGTGTCTGGTATAATGCTTGTGTTTCCTCAACCAGTGCTCTTGCTGAAGGATCATTGATATCTGCCCCTTCTGTTTTGAGAAAAAAATTAGGGAAAGTTTATATAAAATATCAATAAAGGATGAATTACATTTAGGTAAGCTTACAATCACGTTTTGGGTCATTGATTTATCCTAACTATAATCGGCATGTAATTAAGAATCAAGTTACTAAAAGAAAAATCTATTGTATTTATGTGTGATATTGATAATCAATAGATAGATGATTATTATTATTATTATTCATAATAACACGATATTTTCGTACTAAATCTTTTATGTAAACAGAAAAGGGAATATAATTAATTATGCTAATGAATTTGAAGTATGCATAGCTTTAGGAAAACTAAATTTATTCATTGATTAATAAACATGCAGTATGAAAAAAGCATGTAATATTTGACATATTGTTTCTGTCTATTCTGTAGTGCTCTAGATTTAAGTTAACAGAAATAATTTTAGTGTTGTAATGTAGATGCACATATATTCATGTAATTGCATTCTTACTTAGCAAACAATGGAAGTAGAGTTGTGGTGTTATTTTCACCTTTTGATTAAATTTGAAGTCCGAAAGTCACTTTTCAAAACACGTTCGGTTTATCATACTAAGGAATTTCCAATGGGAGGTGTAATATGCTTGATCATATCGAACAGTTAAATGCATTTTGGTTGATTTATGTTAGCTACTTATTTCGAAAATGTAATTCTGACTTTGATTTTATACCAAAACTACGACTACTAAACAAGTTTGCCAGTGTTAATACAGACATGTGGATAAGCAACTAGCCGTCTTCTTACCTCTCCAGAAGAGTACGGCATCATGTACTTGGAGGAAAGTGTACAATGTTTTCACTAATTCAAGAAGGTATACCAAAAGGAATCGTTCGTCCTCTTTTCCTATTCCCCTTTTTTCTGCATGATATGTTAACCTCTACAGACAGACAACACGTTCGTTAAGTATGCGAACGGTCTCACTCTATGTACACCGATTTCTGATTCTTCACATACTCTGGAAATGAATGAGTTACTGACGCTCACTGAACGTTGATCTGTCGTAAATGGTCTCACACTTAGTCTTTCTGAATGTCGACCTGATAACTGAAGCCTAAGACATGAACAGGACATGCTGTTGGAATCCCATGAAGTTTGTACTATTTGAGATTCGATGATAAAAACATTTTGAGAGATCATTTATCTAGATTTAAGTTTTTCTTCTGATCATTTCGGCATTTACATGCTATACTGAAATCGAAGAATACTTTTTGCCAGACTTATTATACAAAGAGACTAAGGGCTTTACTTTGTCGATTTTTAAAGCCTTGTATAAAACCTATTATTGCTTATTGTCATGCATTATTATTTCCAGAACTATTAGAAAAACATTTCGCTACATTGCGAAGATTGCTGAAGGCAGCTAGCAGAGCATGTGATAAAATCTGTTGAGGTAATCATAAACATGGTTGCGGGCAGGCATTTAAAATCTTGCAAACTTCTGAGAAGTTCGATCTTATTAGATACTAACCATTCAGTCTGTTCACTTCTTCATTGATATTTTCTAGTATAGCGGGACGTTAATGCATCAGATTCCATGCACTCAGACAATAGGATAAACGCTGTACAATGCTATATCTAGCAAATATACTGTGCGATGAACAGGTGGTAGAAAATGACCTAATCAAAAACTTATTTTCCTCGAACATATTTCTAATTAGAAGTTGTGTAGATTCGTATTTATTAAAAAAGGATACATTTACTGTTTTACTTATTTCATGTATATGCATGTAGTTATCGATTTTTTTCATAACTGAAATCACGAACTGATATTAACTAGACTATCATTAGAAACCTGGAAGTACTGGATGGGCGATTTGGCAAAGTATGGGACTCTTCAGGAGTGTATATCAATAAATAAATATTACTCAAAACAAATGACATTCATGAAGCTTTCAGATGTTAGAATTTGGTATCTCATGTTTCTTAGTTGCAAAATATGGTTGTTTATTTTCTTCTTATATTTCGCATTATCGATCAAGTAACAGTTATAATTAGTTTTACACCCAATTGATAAGCAATAAGTAAGTAGTCTATGGCTAGTCACTGATGCATGTATTTGAGTGCTGCATTTTGGTTGCATGAAGGAAGTGAGTAGGAAACCATCATCATAGGTTTCGTGTTAGTTGGTAATCTTTAACATTCTTGTTTAGAATCATGGGGTAGCTGGTGTCACATGCAGCATCAGATATACGTCAACCATGCTTATTTTGAACAGCCGTGCGTGTACAAATATATTCATATTACTTATGTCAGTTATTTGTTCAATAAAGCTTACCAGTCACTGAACCAACATTTGTACAACTCGGTTATTTAAGTTAATACGCATTGTCCGTTATTTCCCAGCACGTTTTATTCACAATATAAATAGAAATATGGATTAAAACTTCAGTACTATCTCAATTAAAGAAAATAGGAAATAAAATTGGAAATCATTCAACATTCGTTCAGATTTACCGTTTTAATAAAGCTTTAATGGTTTCGAGGTTTTCGTTCACTAAAATTAACAAAAGCAACAGTATTCAGTACTCTTTGACCAAACCTATACCTACAAGCAGCTAGCATCGTTTGATAATTTGAGGTTTGACTATCTTCATTAACAATCAGGTGACAACAATAATTATTTTGATCAGTTACTTTTAGAAAATGTCTGATTGAAGTTAGACTTGTACATATCGGATTCCATCTTAGTGATTTAGTGGCTGTGTTCACACGTGAGATCAAATGTCTTGGGTATGATTCCCGCTTTTTGGGGGTCGTGGGTACTGTGTATAACAAATAGTAAACAAGTCTAATCAAAAAAAATAAAAATGTCTCTTCTTAAATTCAAACCTTTACGTCCACATAAAGTTTGACCAGTACGTAGTCGTTGTAAACTATCAATTGTTCTATCTTTATCAGAAAGTTGTTTTTCCATTTCACTCATTTGATTAATTAAGTTGGTAATTTTTTGATTAGCTTGTTCAAGTTGTCCATTAGTTTGCTGTTTTATATTTTCACAGTTTCTAGTTAATTCATCTAATTCATGTTCCAATTTTTTCTTATCATTCTTTTCTTGTTCCATTGTAACCTGTTAAACATCGTTAATTTATATATCACTCTATAATTAAAGGTTTATCAAAATTTATTTCTGAATATAATAAAACATTTCAGAATAGATATTATGATGTTACATGGGGAAAATAAATAAATTCCTCTGTTGTCTTACTTTCAGTGCATGTATGCATGGGCAATGTTTTTCGAAAGAAATGATCATTCAACATATTTTGAATGCTGATTGATATAATCAATCTGCTGGTTATGTTCAATGAAAGCAAGTAAAATTTGAGCGAATATAACAACAAAACTGTTAGTTCTTATCGTGTCAATAGTGTTTTGCTTTTACTATGTAAAAAGTTATTTATTACAAATAGCATAAAATCAATACTCATTATTATTGAACAATTATTTCATACATTGATTGTATCTAGTGATAATAAGTTTTAGGGGTGGAATTTATTACATTTTCATTAATACTGACGGTAACTTTTCATCCAAGCAAGTGACTGGATACTAGGATCCAGGCATATCAAGCTAACAAGTATTGAATTGGACAAAGCGCACATGCTGAATTCCATTGATAATCAATAACTCTGCTAACAACAATAATCACTTGAATATATTTGTTCTTTGAAATGATAATATTGTTGAAGAGTTTATACCCAGATCTAAGTACTTACTAAGCGCTTTCTAATCTTTAATGGTTTTCTGCTTGCGCGCACAATATAGCTCGTAATATGACGAAATCAGTTGCGATAAGCCAAAACACTAGTCAGTCAGTTGCAACGTAGAACTTCGTACGTATGCATATACGTTCAGGTTGCCATACCACATTAGCACAGAGACGAAAATTTCAAATCAAATCCCATAGTGATAAAGATAGTAGAGGTATTAATGGTAATGAAGAAGACTAGGGTTCGAAGATATTATTCAAGAAGTATAACTCAGTGAGATAAGACAAAGACAGACAAAGGTAGAGGTGGTGACGATTCCAGAAGATTAGGATTTGAGAGAGCACAACGAATGGATGCACTTGCGCCATTGCAAACGATTTTGAGCCATGTCTTTCAAGGTCTCTAACCATTGGTGACTTTCGTCTCGCGGACCCCAACCAGGTTGTCTACATCTACCAACATGACTCAGTCCACTTGTCAGTGACTTCATGGATTGCTCCCGTGTTTTGGTCTGGCCGCCCCTAACTTTATTCCAACCTGCTCCTACACCACAAATCATAGCTCGTCGCGGTAGTCGGCGGTTAGTCATACGTAACACATGTCCCAACCACCTCAACTGATGAAGTTTCACTACTTCATCTATTGATTTGCCATCCTTACCTAGAATTCGTTTCCCAACGACAGTATTGCTTTTACGGTTGTCCCATGATACACGAGCATTGCTTCGGAGTCATCGATGTTTGAAGACTAGTAACTTACGAAAATCTTCTACTCTGACTGGCCATGTTTCACAGTGATAAAATAGGACGTAGCGAACTACTGCACAGTACACTCGACCTTTAGTCAGAAAACAGATATCTCACCTGCGCCATAGGTGACGTAGGTTGGCAAAAGCCAATCGAGCTTTCTGTATCCGCGCTGAGATTTCGTCAGTCACCAGGCTATCAGCGCTGATTTTGGGATAAGTAAGATGTAAATTTAGCAAAATTTATGAAACTAGTACTGAAGCTTACTGATGATCAGTTAGTATATTAAGTACTGATCCAATATATATTAGAGTGTCAAAAATGTTTTTCCTTGGGTCATAAAACAAGCAACATGAGTGACCATTTTTCGTTACCTTTTCTCAGCTAGTGGTTAGCTTTGGAAATGTTAAATACTTTATAGCTACGTAAGCTTCTACTTAGCTAAAATAGCTGTTTCTAACATACAACATATTTATATAATGGGTGTTTTCAACTCAAAATATATTTTATGCTTTATTTAGCGTGTGATAGATTACTTGTGAATATAAGCGAAAAGCGATAAGCTAGCAAAATTGAAAAAAGCTTACCATGTTTCTGGCTTCCATTGTACGTAAGTTGGATGCAAAGTTTTCACAGGCTGTTTGACATACTCTCGATATCCTGGATAATTCTACCCGAGCGGATCCGATTTCACGTTCTACTTGGCCCCTAACTTCAACAAACTGACGGCGACACGCTACGACTGCTCTCCAAAGAGCAAGGAGTCTTCCATGTTCCATCGTGAAATAATCATTGAAAGCAGCTTCTTCATTTTTCCATTCTGCCTCTCGCCGTTCAAGAACATCACGTAAACAAGTTGCTTCTTCCTTTATACGCTGCAATTCAGCCGAAAGTGTTTGATTTGCATGTGTGGCCTGATCTAATTGCTCGCGAAGCATTGTATTTACTCCAGCAAGTGTTGAAGCCCTGTGATAAGAACATTTACAACAATAATACATTAAAACAGCGGATTAATTGTGAACATACAGTATTTTCCAGGCAAAAATTTAGTAATTTCAAATCAAAGTTATATTTAGTTAAGTTGTAGTAATCGTTTGAGATTTGATGTAACTGAGGTGAAGCTTTGTCACCCATATACCCAAACAAGAATACCTATTTAATGCGAGATAAATGAAAATTAATTATTTAGTATTACGATGATTTATTCTTGAGCTTAAAAGCACAGTTATTTATGGCACCGAAATAATTAGCAAAATAGATGTTTTGTTGTCAAACGTGCATTCCCTTACGCATAACGGTAACATACCTCTGTTGTTCTTCTTCAAGTCTCAAAAGAGTCGCTTCATATTCAGCTGTACTTTCATCCATTCCAGCCTTCAGAATTTTAATTAAAAGAATAGAGTTTTTATGATAAATAAAAGATTATACATGAAATAAAAAATTTACAAATTTTTTTACTGGTGATAGATACAAACGTTAAATATTTATCACAAAGTATATATATATTCAAGAAATTCACTGATAATCACTTCTGTTTCTGTCTAGTTAGTTATGATTATAATTGTATGAAATTAACCGTTGATGATAAGATTTACTAAACCGAGTTAAATTTAATTATAAAACATAATCTTGTTTTGCTAAGTGAAATGTTTAGATCACAATATGTGATTTACTTTAAATCAAAATACTCCAGTGAGGGTGATAGCATGAATGTTCTGACACGACACTGAGCTACATGATTGTTATATTAGGGGTTAGTATGCTAAGTAATGATTTGCTTTGCTCCACTATAGTCTTTTCAAGCACATTGTTTTTCGTGGACTGTTTTGATTTTGCAGATAATAAATCTATCTATACACTATACCATCTCAAATAAACCTATTACTATTATCATTATGAAAAATAATATTTCCATTCAGATGTCTATTACTTCTAATCATTAACATGTTCTCGTAATGAGAATAAATTTTTTCAATCTATCGTCCATAAATTTCACGACGAGAATGATAATGTAGGTGTCTCAAATATTCCTCATTTGAGAAATTAAATTGTTTTTATAAAGGAGCATCATATATCATCTTATAAGCTTGTCTTGTTGTTTATTGTCTTATATTTCATGTAAACTAATAGGCCACATGTTATTTATCACTTCATTCTGACAGATAGTCAGTAATTACTTAGAAGAACAGATTATGTTCTATTTTTTGTTAACTGTATAGGGTAAGGATGACAGATCAATAGATTAAGTATTGAAACTTCATCAGTTGAGGTGGTTGGGACATGTGTTACGTATGCCTAACCACTGATTGCCTCGTGGAGCTATGTTTTGCGATGTAGGAATAGGTTGGAGGAAAGCTAGGGGCAGCCAGACCAAAACACTGCAGAAATCGATGAAGTCACTGACAAGTGGACTGAGTCATGTCGGTAGGTTTCGACCACCTGGTTGGGGTCCGCGAGATGATAATAATCGATGGTTAGAGACTGTGGATATGGCTGAAAACCGTTTGCGATGGCGCAGGTGCATTCATTCTTTGTGTTCTCTCAAATCCTAAACTTCTTAATTCCGAATCACTTTATCTTTCTTTTTCTAAGTTTAACTCACTGAATGATACCTCTTGAATAACATATTCGAACCCTAATCTCTGCGATTACTTCTCATACTTCTACTACCTCTAAAACTATGGGATTTGAATTGACAATTATATCTCTTTGCTAATGTGGTATGGCAACTTGAACTGTGTACTCACGTATAAAGTTATACGTTGATTGATTGATTGTATAGGGTATTCAAAAATACTTTCTAAAACTTTTAGTAGTAGTAAAATCCATTTCAAAATTAGGGGGGGAATCCACACATTCTGATTTTTTGTAACAAGCAGCACTGCATTTTTCTTAAAAGCTTGGCTCTGGTCTTTTTTTAAAAAACCCAAAATATTGTATCAGAAATGGATTTGGACTTCTACAAAAGCTTAATATGACATACTTTCGGTGGGTGGGTATTTTATTATAGTTTATTTTGGAAATAGTTTTTTTTAGGTTATCTACAATGAATAAGTAAAGCTTTATGCTTTGTTTCAATCATATTAAGTTGCCGACAACAGTTATTTATGTGTTGATAAGAGTTTAGGTAGTCCGATATTTATTATAAACATGATAGGAAAATAATTAACTAAAATAATTTCGCCATATTTTATAACTTTATATTTAGATAGGAGAATCAAAGACTACACTTTATAAAAATAAAATGATTTTATGCACAAACTTAACAAGCAATACATTTTAGCTTTCCTATTTGATTGTATTTGCTGCTAAAAAGTGAGTTTTCTCTATTCACATTTAAAATATTTATACATGACAAGAATAATTATTACAAATGAGTAGTGTACCAATATGCTCACGCTAAAAATTTATTTCGGGCTGACAATGTAACTTGCAAATTATACCAAAAACATTGTTAATAGTTGCTGAATCATAAAATGTTTCGAGTGATTGAAATAATAGGAAACTTGTCGAAATATTGCATTTAACAGTAACAGTTATAAAAGGAGATAAGTTTATGTTTAATTTTCAAGAAAAGTAAAGAAAAACACCATAATTAGATTAGATTTGTTGAGATTGTTTTTCAACCCTGTTATCTAGTTATCCTCAAGAATTTTGCTCTTTCTTCAATATGTTAATTTTACATTAATCAAAAGCTATAGTTATTTGGTAGTTGTAGTTGCCCGACATTGTCTTCTTTCATTTACTACTCAAAAAACTAAAGTAAAAGTATGTTTCACTATTCAATTAGAAATTATTGACTTATGTTTTATCAAAAAAAACATAAGTAGATGACATATAATTTGTTTCTATTAATTATTGTTTTGGTTAATTAGATGAAGTGTTATTTATACCGCTGTGCGTAGTCAACTTACACAGTCGAAAATGGTATTTTGTACTGTTTATTTGTTTGGTTTTGTTTTTCATTGAATCTATGCGGCAATAAACGCTGTGTTTTATTTAAAACAAAATGATAAAGAACATATGCGGGCTAAAATTATTACTTAGGCTCATTAAAAATATTTATCACCTACACTCATACATTTCGATGTAACGATGAGAAAATTAAGGTCAATTTCGAAATTCAAAGGATACTATTGTAGCAATTAAATTTAGTTACTTTTTTTTAAATAAGATATGATTATTAACTGTTAAATATTCAGTAAATGAAATTAAGGACATTTATCCAATAAATGATTTGAATAATTAATCCTGGGGTAAAATATAGACAGATTTTTATGCAAAACATTAATTATATCTTACGTGTTGATATTTTTGATAGATTTTATTTATATCAAAATATCAGTATAACCAAAAGCTTTCTTCAAACATATTATCAATACATGTAACACTTGTTTAGAAAAAAATCCTAAATTCTATTAACTACTGTATTTTTGTTCGTCCAAACTGAATAGCTAAATAATAAGTCTTGCAAATCAAATCAACCAGAATAGATTGTTGCATGACGAAATCTCGACAGACTCGAAAAGCTTGTTGGACTTCTACCAACTTATGACGTATGGGAGATGTCAGTCTGCTGAACAAAGGATAAGTACACTCTGCAGTAATCTAGCTGTATTGCTCTTTAGCTGTAAAACAGAATATGAAAGCAAACGACACTTCGATCATGTCTTCAGAGCAGTGCTTGAGTTTCATGAAATGACCGTGTCAGCAATGCTATCGTTAGTCATAAAACAGCAGGGGAAGACGCGTAGTCGATTGATGAAATAGTCAATCTTTGTCGACTGAGGTGGTTGAAATATATTTTACGAATGCCTGACCATTGCCTAACTCAACATTTTATGATGTCCGGTGTATGGGGTTGGTTAGAAAATAGTTTAGAGGCTAGGTCAAATCAAAATGTGACATATGTCAATCCAATTATTGACCGCATGTCTTGGTAATGTTTGGTAAATATAGACTACCTTTTTGGGGTCCGCGGGATAATCCCGAACAGTTACTCGAGACTTTGGGTAAGACGGCCTAGAGTCAGGTACGATGGGGTATGTGTGCTCACTCCCTACCTAAATCTAAATCTTGAGTCTGAGTTTTCTTTTACACACATATTTCTTCTCCTCAAACCATTTTCTTCACATTCTGTTTACGATAAACCCTTCATGGTTTTTCGTTAAAATAATGATCTATTAAATATTCTTTTTTTCCAAAGAGTATAAACTTTATGGAATCTCAGTATGAACTACTTAATGGTACATAATATACTTTAATTTCATTTACAAATATTACCTAATAATCCCTGAGTTTATTTTACATTTCGGTATTTGGATGAAATCAAGACTAAAGTTTATATTGTCAAAGAAAAAAATCAGGTCAAATACAAGCAATTCATTATGCCAAAATCTCAACAGATATATAATGTTTTATCTTAAATTCAATAACAATTTGTCTAAAAAAAATACTTTATTATGAAGTAATAAAAAATGTTATCAGATAAAATGAGATTACTTTTCTGTTTTGATTTTCCGTATCGGCTATCTGTAATTTAAGTTCAAGTGTTCGACATTTTTCCTTGTATTGTAATACCTATTGTAAGCAACATTAAGAAGCAAAACTATATTTGATTTCATAAATATGCTGAAAAGATATTTACATGCAATACAAAAATATCATAACTAGATAGTTTACTAAATATTTACTTGAATAAAAGAACAAGGCATTACTGTGTGTGTAGAACATAGTTAATGCATTTAAAATCCTGTTGAAGAAAACACAGTCAAAATAAGAATGGAATTTAGCATTCCATTTTGTCTTTACTGATAAATTCTCTTCAACCATGATTGTAGTGCGCTCAGTGTGTAATCAGTGTATGATCTACATCATTTCACGACACTGAGTCGATTTAATATGGTCATTCTTTTGTTAAGATGTCTATTTTTGCAAACGTAGTGCAGAGAAAATATGAATCGCCTCACTAAATTCACATAATAATGTTTCTGAAACAAAATTTTGAAATCAAATCGATTGTGTATTAACTGGGGATACTATCAGAAAATGATAAACTTGTTGATCTAATGTAAAAAAAGAATATGTCGAAGATATTCAGAACTATATTCAATTTCAACATTCTAGCCTACCTACCATTTGAATGTGAAATTCTGTAATTTAGATATCATCAAGGATATTATTTGATCGAAATCACACTTGTTATTTTACTAAATAAACATTTGTTTTCTACTAGCTTATTATTATTCCTCATTGTTAAAAGCTTCATATATATGTATGCCAGTTTTCAAATTCACTTACTGCCCTTAGAAATCAAAAGAATGAGGTAATTTTTAGAATTTAATTTCGCCTCCCAATTAGAATATTTT